TCATCCTCAAAATTACCAACATTGACACATTGGCCATTTACTTGGGCTGGCCGGAATCACAAATAAGTCTCACATCAATCCCGCCATTCATCTGCACTCCGGCTAACTGTCGTCCCGTACACCAGGTCACCATCCACCCGAATACCAAAGAGACCTCGACATCCTGTAGTGTCACAGTCGCCTCTCCGAAATTGAAATGAAAAGTGTGGGTTTTTGGCCTCCACCATTCCACCAATGCGGTAATGAGACCGAGATCCACTCTTTTATAGCCTACTTTCATTATCCCCTCAAAACCGGCTCTCTTAATGACTTCCTTAACCTCCGGTGCCGTATCTTTGTATACCCTCCAAAAATCGTCATCGTATCTACGGCCCTTGAGGTAGAATGTTTTAATGTCCGGCATCTTGTTCTCATAGACAGCTTGGGACCTATGCTTTGTTTGACGATATAGCATTTTATCTTGTATCGGCCCCGGGTGAAGATGTTTAGGTTGATATTGCAAGCCCGATGCCCCCTCCGTCATTTCAATCTTACACAAGGCAACCAAAGAAAACATCAATTCCCTAACTCATTATTTGGCCAAATTCAATATAAACCAAACTAATACACAATATCAAAACAACTAACACCAATACAACTAACACTATATCAAAACAACTAACTATATTGCAAAATAACCAATTTCTGAAACACTATAATGCAGGAAAAAGCACTATAGCTATAGCTAATTAACTATATCAAAATACAGTTGTATAACAGAACTATATCAATTAACTATATCAAATTGTCTGCGCCACGCTGAAAGGCGCTACACACTATAGTATAGATCAATAGGCCGATCCCCTTTTCTCCGGCAAATTCGGAGTGCTTGCGTACAAGGCATCCGGTACTCTTGCCACTTCCTGCACGAACACCTATGTTCATCGTAGTTCACCGTATGCAAAGACCCACCCCTGCCACTTAGTCGTGTTGCAGTAACAAACCGCCACATAGCATCATCACCATCAAAAGGGGTGGCTTCAAAACTGGCTGCTTTGTTGTTCATTTTCTCGTATTTTATATGGCACATCTACTTTCAATAAGGTCTTCACATCTTTCTGTGCCGAGGCTACCGTATAATCTACGTTGTCCTCAACCTTTCTCCTGATGAGTCTAACAATCAAAGACGCGTCCACACACTGATTGTCATTATCATTCACGGGAGTCATGAAATTATGTGCATCATACCATCTCACAATTTCATGAAGGCCGTGAGCTTTCAAAGACACACGCATCTTCTACTCACATGGTGGTTCACCATCCTCACTTACCACATTTAATGTTCTGCACCACACAGCCCACGTCGTTGGACTACTCGCGGCGACCGTATATTCCCTTTTATAATGGATGTTCCATAATTTCACAGTATGTTTTGCTTCTGATTGAGATTTGAAACAAACACCAATGTCCATTCGTTCGGGCGTCTCATCCCATATTTTAAGAGCAAACTCATCCTTGTCCACACATGAGGCATCCCATTTCCCCATTTTACTATATACATGGCGTCGGGGCATGGATTACAATCCCTTTCCTCATTTTCCAACATTTCATCATCACTTTCTTCAAAATCACTCTCTCCGGAGACATCACAGTCTTCTTCGCTTTCACTTGGAGCTATGTAGTCGGGATCCGACTCTTCCCGGTAGTCATCTTATACAAATAAAAGGTGTCTTTTCTTCATCACGGTTTCGAGAAGTACTAGCACGTTCCCCCCTTGGAAAACCACCAAATGATACGTTGTTTTCCAAACTCGCTTCTCTTTCTTCATGAGTGATATCTTCTAAATCTATGTATAAATCCAAACTTGACATTAGATCTACACAGTTCATGAACTCTACATGCGAATCATTCTTGATCTTCACTACATGCCTACCACCGGGACTATCAAAAATCAAAGAAAGGTGGAGTTTCACGTGTGCTGGATCCCAACCAAGTGTCATACAAATCTTACTAATCAATCCCTCATATGACAACATTTCCTCAACAAACAAACCATGATCCGGCATATTCGAAAAAGTGTTGATGCTACCATTCTCTATCACATACTTGCTTGTATGAAACAAATTAAGCATGTATGATACATTACGTGGCATTGATAACTGTTTAAAAAAAAACAGCAATATCTAATCATTTCTTAATAACAAAATCAACAAATACACCATACATACTCCATTCATAATTCAAAAAACCTATAAGATACTAAAATACTTATAAATCAACTTCCATATCTCATGAATAACTATGATTTCTCATCTCTAACCTCAAAATCAATACCTAAAACATCCAAACAACCAACCAACATAAACCCTTATCTATCATACATCATTCTAACAATCAAAATAACACAAAACTAAACTAAATAACGTAGTTTTGCAATCTAAACTCTTTCAAATAACGATTCTCACGTATCTAGAGGTAAGAATGCATCAAAAGCTCCAATTCGCCCTTGTTTGAGCTGCAAAAATAGAAAATCCAACTCAGTTCTCGAATGAGAACTGTCTGAATTTTTTTTTCTTATATAGCACGTTAAACTCGGATTTCCGAAATCCGAGTCCGTAAGTAACTCGGATTTTCGAAATCCGAATTACCGTGGACTCGGATTTCTTGAATCCGAATTTGGTCAATTTCGGATTTTTTTATTCATTTTTTGGTCCTCCAATTTATGGCACATGCCTACTTCCACCAACCAAAATTAAAAGAAATTGGAATTTTTCAAATCCAAATACAGAAAACCGGATAACGGACTTCCGGTTTTTGGATTCAAAAATTTCGCGCCTCCATTTTCTTTTTTTCTTTTTTCTTTTTAAGAAATCGGATTTTGTAAATCCGAGTACTACTGTTTATTTAAGAGTCCAGGTCCTGGACTCCTTATTTGAGTTCAAATATTTCGTGCCTCAATTTATTATTTTTTAATTAAATTCGGATTCCGCAAATCCGAACGGCACTGTTCATTTAAGAATTTTTAAAAACTATTATTCAACAAAATTTATTTAATTATTATTTTATTATTAAATATAGTCTCGGATTTCCGAAATTTGAATCTTTAATTTTAATCAGAACTCGAATTTTGGAAATCCGAAGGATATATTTCTGTCCACAAATATTCTGAAAAATTTAAATTTACCCACGTTTATTTTAATTAATTTTTTTGGGAAAAAGCCCAACAGAAGAATCCAGACACAGATATTATAGAATGACTAAAATGTCCAAATGGTCCCTTACATTTGGGCCTACTTAAATTTACGTTCCTAACATTATCATTTCAATATCATAGTCCCAAACATTATGTTTTCAAACTTTTTCGGTCCCATTTTACTGTTTCCGGTCGTTGACATGCCGGAATCAGGGGTATTTTTGTCTTTTAATTTAATTTGAATTTCAATTAAAATTTAAATTATTAAAAATATTTAAAAAATCAGATTTCATTATTTAATTGTTAAAATATTATTTATTAATTAAAAAATATTATTATAAAATTTTAAAATTTACATTATTTTCAAAATCAATTTTTTCATTTATCATTTATCTTAAGTCAAAGTAAATAGTAATTATGTTGTACTTATAACCTTGGGCCACTGTAACTTAAAAAATTTACCGAATTACAGTAAATAATTTAAAATTCAATTTATTTATAAAAAAAAAAAAAAGAAAAAGCCAAACCATTTTTTTTACTCTGACCGCTGCAGTAAACTCTAAATGGTAATTATTTTACACTTTTAACCTTAGACCCACTATAATTTAAAAAATTTACCGAGTTACAGTAAATAATTCAAAATTTAATTTTTTAAAAAAAAAAAGGAAAAAGCAAAACCAAGATTTTTTTTTTTACTTTGACCGCTACAGTTGAATTTTGAATTATTCACGGTAATTTGGCAAATTTTTTAAGTTACATTGGCTCCAAGGTTAAAAGTGCAACATAATGGTTTACTGTAGCAGTCAATTACTTTGTTTTACTTTTTCCTTTTTTCAAAAAAAAATTAAATTTTGAATTATTTACTGTAACTCAATAAATTTTTTAAGTTATTGTGGGTCCAAGGTTAATAAAGCAACGTAGCGGTCAGAGTAAAAAAAAATCTTGAATTTTCCTTTTTTTTTGGAAAAAAAATTGAATTTTGAATTATTTACTGTAACTCGATAAATTTTTTAAGTTACAGGTGGTCCAAGGTTAAAAGTACAACATAATTACCATTTAAGGTTTACTATAGCGGTCAGAGTAAAAAAAAATCGTGGTTTTGCTTTTTCTAAAAAATAAATAAATAAATTTTGAATTATTTACTATAACTCGGTAAATTTTTTTAAGTCACAGTGAGTCTAAGGTTAAAAGTGTATTATAATTACCATTTAAGATTTACTGTAGCAGTTCAAAGTAAAAAAAAATCTTGGTTTTGTTTTTTCTTTTTTTAAAAAAAATTTGAATTTTGAATTATTTACTGTAACTCGGTAAATTTTTTAAATTACAGTGGGTACAAGGTTAAAAGTGTAACATAATTACCATTTAGGGTTTACTGTAGCGGTCAGAGTAAAAAAAATCTTAGTTTTGCTTTTATTTTTTCTTCTTTTTTTTAAATAATTGAATTTTGAATTATTTACTGTAACTTGGTAAATTTTTTAAGTTACAGTGGGCTCAAAGTTAAAATTGCAACATAGTTACCATTTACTGTGTACTTAAAGTAAATAATAAATGAAAATAGTTATTTTGAAAATAATGATAAATTTTAAAATTGTACAATAATATTTTTAATTAATAAATAATATTTTAACAATTAAATAATAAAATTTGAAGTTTAAAATATTTTTAATTTAAATTAAATTAAAAGACAAAAATATCTCTGATTCCGGCATGTCAACGGCCGGAAACAGTGAAATGGGACCAAAAAAGTGTGAAAACAGAATGTTTAGGATTACGATATTGAAATGTTAATGTTAGGGACGTAAATTCAAGTAGGCCCAAATGTAAGGGACCATTTGGACATTTTAGTCTTATAGAATCAAATATCATCATGAAAAAAGTTGTTCAACTTCATCCCGAAACTGCAATGGCTACAAGCTATTCCTTTTACCAACTGGACTATACCGTATATCCTTGCTACTTTAGGGGCAGGACTGAACTTTAGGAGTTTAGAGGTATTCCTTTACCAACTGAACTTTAGGGGCAGGACTGAATTTACCTCGAATAGTAGCTAACCTGAGAGTCGGAGACTACTATCTAACGGGATTCAAGACATTCATAGTAATGGGTACAGATGCACATGAAACAATGTTTATATTTAGGTTGGCTGAGAATTTACAAATACTAGTTTCACACTGATGATGCTCAAAAGCATAAGTATCTCTAAGCATGACCGCATCAAATTTGAAAGATATTAACTATACTGGGGCAGAAAGAATAGGAACTAACGATCCCTAAACTTTAAAGAAATGGTATTTAGATTCAACATAACCTTCAGCGTCCCACAAAAAAGTACCAAATGTAACTGCCTCCAACACCAACATTGTCAATCCGGAGAATGTCAAGGAGATCATTTCATCGTTGGATGCATCTAAGGAACCATCTTCAGCAACCTTAATATCAGGCCTTCCGAATAATGCCTGTGTTTGCTTTTCTATCAAAGAAATTGCCTCTTTAGACCTTATGGTTGCATATCTTTGGAGTGTTTCTGCATCCAAATACATCACGTAGGATTTCAACCTGTATGATTTATCATCAGTTCCAAAGTCTGATGGCTCTCCTTCATCATCATAATCAGGGGGGATGACTATCAAAGAATCTGGATCCCAGAGCTGCTTTTCAGATATTGGTCTCTGAAAATCTGACTGGCCCTTTGCAAATGCTTCAGGGAGGGTATTCATCGATTTCTCAAGTTGATATCTCTCATCAACTCTTCTAAGGAAATAACCATACATAATGGAGGCAGCATAAAGCTTGCCAAGTTTTAATTTACTGATCTGCACCATTGTGTCCAGGGGCCCTACTGCCCGAACTCCGAGTACAAGAGAAAGGTGGTTAACTATCATTTCAAATGCTTCAGGTGAGTGCACAGATTCCAGCCTCTCTTCTTGATTTGGCCAAAAATCAACCCTTCCGGCAGGATCAGAGGTAGAAGTTACCTTTGGAATCATGGAAATTTCATTATCTATAAACTTGTGAGCCACCAGGCAGTAAATTATTTCCTCTACCGCCTTGCACCTTTCTTTCTCTTTTACCTCAGCTATTCTCCTGGAATTTAAGCATGTGAATCCGTGAGTCATCAAATAACTCCAGTTGATCATGAGTATCCTCAACATTTATCTACACAGTGAATAAGAGATAGAGTACATAGCAAAAACAAGATAACAAAGTTTAGAATTAATGAAAATATTTTTAAAATCAAACCAGGAAATGTGTGATATGTACATAATGCTTGCCCTACCTCCCCTTCCCTCACACCGAGCGTCCAGGATGACATTATTAGGAGGGGAAAAAATAATAAAAATATTATAACTAGAGCATAAAAAATAAAAAATAAAAAATAAAACTCCACATAGCATTCCACATCAGAAAATTTCCCATCTCTCAAGCTTACTTTCACTACAAATGTTGACTTAAACTAAAAATTAGCACAATGTAATTTACAAGAAACAGAAACCACTTGAACAGTCAGTCAGACCTTCAAATTGTTTTGAACTCTCTACATCAGACCAATCAAACTATCCAACCACTGGGAAGCAGCCCATGGACCTTGGGATGTTAGTTTATGTTATTGAGCTCTCTCCAGAGGCCAAAATAAAATAGCGAACCAGAACAAGATGTCAAAGACACAGCACAATGACCTTCAACGATGCTCAGACAGCTAAAAGGATAACTAAATAGCATTGGCCTCTAGATCAGAACCTTTATGTAATCCAAGTCGAAGAGGTGATGATATGCAGGTCTGGTTGTTGGCTGTTACTACAATGGCTTAACAGAGAGTTAAAATACTTTTCTACAACAACATACTGTATCCTTTGTTCCACTTTGCCTTGGATCTAGCCTTTCCCCTTTAATTTCGGCCCATGAATCTATGGCTTCTACTCATCGAACTGGGGCATCTATAAGGTCTCCTATGCATGCCCAAACCATTTTAAGCATGATTCTCTTTTTGTATTACATATTAGTGCTACACATCCCCTCGACTTATTTATTAGCCATAAGCTTCATGACCCTCTTCATAGCCATCTGAACTGTTACTGAGCAATTTCATCAAATTAGAGGTTCCAATAAAAATAATCTTCCTAACTCATGACCAGATTCCATGACATCTCCACGATAATAAACCTATGTTTACAATTCCTTCTATAGGGTGCAGCTTACCCTTGTAGGTTGGGAGACAAATTAGAATGCAGTGAGCACCTCCATAGTTTTAGGAAGCTAATAAGAATTCCAAGGTCTCCAACTAAGTCCCAAACTTACCCTAATACCCCCTTAATTTACAGTGAAAGCAGTGCGTTGCAAGTAGCATCAGCGACTGTCAGATTCAGGAGAAAGAAGCTAATAGGAAAGTTCAATCATGGATTTCTGAAAAGATAAACTCACATTGCTTTTTTGATCAAGACTTTGATGGAATGTTTTCAAAGCATGTTTGTAGGAATCAGTTTCATAAATGAGAGCTATGTTGTCAAATTTGCCACTCATTTTTGGGATGTTATATTTTTTTAGAGAAAGTACATTCTATACTTAAAAAAACTAAATTTACATGCTTCAACAAAACAACATAACACACTCTCTACCAAAAAAAAAAAAAGAAAAACATAAGTCCTTTACAATACCCGTCGCACGGATGTAGAATCTAGTATTACTATTAAGAAATAAATTCAAGACAGAGTAATAAGTTTGTCAGACTGCTTACTTATACAGGAGATCTTGGGATGATTGCGAGCTTTTCTCCTTTTCCGCATCTCTTTCACTCTGAAGATTCTCAAGTTGCTGGTCAATAGCTGCAGGGAGTAGATGCGGGTGACTTTGTAGTATTTGCGCCAAAAACTGACCAACTGGGGAGTCAAGTTGAACAGGCGCAATTGGGACCAAATCACCTGGAGGTCGTCCAGATGCTTTAACGGTAAATGATCCTTTTCGTTGGTCTGCGCCAATTCCTACCGTCCGAAACGAATATGACGGGTATCCCTGAAGCATTGACTATTTAGAACGAAGACAACTTGTCTTGAAATTTCCCGCGTGTTAAAAGAACAGAAGATTGCAAAAATTCATGTCAACAATGGGGCAACAGGAAATCAAGAGATTACACATGCCACCACTACTTCCTTCCATTCTGTTCACCCGAGCATGGGTTTTTAAGTTTAGAACTTCACAGCTAATCTAAGCAAAAGATTCAATCTACTTAATAACATTTCCACTAAAATCAACCCCCCACCCTCCTACCTCAAAGCAGCATCCCAACGCCCAACCAAAAAACTCTGTATCCGCACATGAAGAATGTTAATGTACATACTTCAGTCATAAATTTATATGGAACAAATTTTCCCATTCCCCATATTCATGTCCAAATGAATTAAGAGTTCAGAAATGTTCTGGTCATCGGGTGTGTAGAAGGGAAGTGGAAAGAAACCACACAAAGTCTAAGTTACCAAATCATGGATTCCCTTTTACACAAACTATTCAAGCGAACCAAACAGGCAGTGGTAAAATCAATGGCACACAAATTCATAAGTTCAACCAAAACTATGAGTCTGTCAACAAAATTCTCCAAATTCCAACCACAAACAGAATTAGAACAACGTGTACCTGCTAATCTGATTAAAAAAATAATAATAATAACAGATAAACATTTCTTTGTTCAATTTCGTACGGGTATGAGTGCGAAAATGTAAAACAATACGAGTCAATGAAAGAGAAAGAAGCTTACTCTGGGAACAGAAAGGGAGATTGAAGGCTTAGAGTCTGGCAATGCGAGGAAGTGCTTGGAATTGTACCCACCGGCGGACGGATGAACCACCGATACGTCGGCGAGTACGCCGGAAATTTGCATCGTCCGTGACTTTTTAGTGAGTGGAAAAGGAAGAATTATCAACTGAAAACAAAGAAGCCAGTAGAAGATTTTTTTTAATTTTTTTTTATGTATAACTTTATTTACTTCCTTTTATGTTTCAACGGAAATAACGAAAAATAGATTCCTTCCTGTTGGCAGGAATCTGGCCTTGAAAATAGTCAAAATACGGATGATTTTTTATTTTCCTTGTGAATTTAATATTACTACTAGTAAATTTTTTTATTTTCTTGACACATACTAATTGTATTCATTAATTCTTTTTTTGCCTTCAGAAATCACCCAAATAAGTAATTATTTCTTAGCTCCATTTTAGTGCTTCCTTTCAATTTTAATTACAGAAATGTTTCAACAAATCTATTGTACTTAATTAAAGCAACAAACAAGAAGGGCAGATGTCAGCTCCACGTTCAATATTTTCTCGCCAAAGCTCATTTTCAGTACAAAATTATTTTTGACACGTGGCACCCTAACTATTCAGAAAAAATGATGTAAAAAAAAACCACAAACACTAATTTCCAGTAAAAGCCCAAAAAAAGCCACAAATTACTCCCTTTTCGCGTTCCCAAATTTAAGCCATCACCATCAATTTAGAAATCAAAAATTTGTTCAGGGATACGATCACCATAAAAAACCACAAATCCCTAAAATCTGGGATACGATCAGGGATACTCACCACAAATACACGGGATTCAATTAGATTTTTCAGTTCTGTGGCGAGTTCCGACTTCCGAGCAGCGACACTGACGAAACAGCCGCAGGTACGATCGGAACATCAGGAGAAAGAAATTGTAATTGACAATGATGGGTTTTGTTTATATGGTCCGAATTCAGTGAATCTTGGTCATGAGAAGCATCGACTGGAGATTTCAAATTCGATGAGATGATGCTGACGGGTGACCGACTCTCTTCGCAAATCCAGTCAGTTTATTTCTTTAGTTAGAGGCGACGAAATTTCCAATCCATCACCATCTTCCGCTCCGATTAACCTTCAAATCCCGTAGGTGATTTTATTTTTTACTTCATTTTTTATTTATTTCTCTTGATTTTATGTTCTTTATTTGGATCGTTCAACTGTTTTGTTTAGACTTATGATTTAGTCCAGTTTCATTTAGTAGTTTTGTTTCTTTATGCACAACAAGAAGAAGAAGAAGAAAAAGAAGAAGAAGAAGAATCCGAATCAATTTATTTTGTCCCGTTCCAAGTTCTCTATCGTGAAAGATAAAAGGTCCGTATGATTTTTTTTTTCTTTTGATAATTGGCAGCCCTGGGAAGTGAAAGCTCAGAAAGATGATGGAGAGAACTTGGTTGCCCAAATGGGATTCGAGGAGGCAGAGGCCCTCTTGGAGTTTCTCAAATAAAGAAGAGAGAGCCACGTGGAGAATTGCGCGGGTTTCTTCATCAATGTAGTATACCGTATGGGATTATTGGAGTATACAGCAACGTCATGGTTATAGAATCCTTCAATAGTTAGAGAAGGTTTATTTTCTTTATCTCTGTTAAAATCAATCCAAATAAGAACCTTAAATTGTAGATCTATAAAGACTTATAAATAGATGTAAATTCTGCCAATTCACTGTATAAAAATGATGGCAATAATTTGGCTTCAAATCCGGCATTTTAATTTCACGTCTAATCCCAAAAATATTCTCAGTTATCCTTCCATGTTCATTGTTCTTTATGTTGCGTCATTGTTTGAAATCTTATTTTTCCAGTCTGTCAGCCGAGAGAAGACCAGCATAAGTAACCATAGATACTGTCACAAGAGTTTCATAATTGATGGGGCTGACCAAGAAGTAAGGTAGAACCGGCAGATTCCTTACTGGATCTGGATAAGAACCGGCGACACTGTCTGTTGCCATGCCAATCGCTGATGACACCCCACCTAGCTTGGACTTCTGGTATTTGCCTCCATCAATGTTACATGTTTTTTATTATATCGTTGCTTAAATTTTGATTTTGATAGCTTCATACTGGGATGCTTAAGGTTTTAGTCTATGATGGTGTTTCAATTTTGGAGCTGCAGTTTTATTTTCTTTTGTAGAGTTCTGACGGCTCTCATTCTTATGAAGTCGTAGATATTATAACTTTTAGAAATGGAAAAGGATTTATCGATTCAGAACTGGCGTCTAATGCGAACCTTTATGGCGAAAGCAAGTAGAATCAGATCAGTGGACAAAATCTTTTCGATTTTTTTCTAACCGGCGTCATAAGAGGATACCGAAGTAACATGTGGGTTTAAGATATGGTTTTGTACATAAAACTATCCCGGAGCAAAACTATTTCGCTCTTTAACAATTCCGGCCGAGTTGATAATGTCTCATGTTAGTCCCAGGGTATTTTTTTTTTTTTTGAGAAAAATTCTTCTACCTAATACCCAAAGGTGGAGGACCTAAATCTGTTGATTACTTTTAAGGATGAGAATTTCATTTTTCTGAGTAGTTAGTTAATTAGTTTCTGAAACTTTTCATTCTTTATCCATCGGTGATTTTTGGGTTTCTTTATTTTTATAAAATTTTTTGATTTTGGAATCAAGTTGCACAAGGTATAGCTTTTCCGCTTCAGTCCCGCATTACGTTTTGGATTCGGTAATGTCTTTTTTTTTTTGCGTGTGTGTGGTGGAAAAGTCCCTTTTACTTTTGGACTCAAAATAAAGGATTATACATTTTCGGTCCAATTTCGTCTGAGAGAGTCATGCTCATGCATCCTCTCTGCAATGTATGATCTTTCTCTTCTAGAAGCTATTTGATTTTCAACTTACAGGTCAATCTGGTGTCTGCAATTTTTCATGTGGTTGATTCTTTGTTTGGAATCAGGCATTGTAACAAGTTTGTAGTGAATTATGTGAATAGCTCTCTATGTCATTCATAGTCATGTTTTTTTCCTTTAAGAAATAGATTGATGGCTCAGCCATTTTAAGAAGCTAAGCATCCTCTGATCCATTTCCTTCCATGAGGTCACTTGATTGAGAAAAAAACCGTGTGGAATGTGAGGTATTTTAGTGGTGGCATCAAAATTTTCGGGCGAATGCCCGGGAGATTACTTATGCTGAAACCGTTAAATTAACTGGATCCTCAAGATATATGTTATTTCTAGACATCATTCTGTTTCTATATTGTTTTAGGTAGTTTGGATGCAGCTATTCTTATTGTTTATTTATGTCATTCTTAGGAGAACTGTCAATTTGTCATCTTTCATCTTTTTGCTTGGGTTTAGATATGTATTTGTCCAAATGGAATTTGTTGTTAGGCATTTGAATCTCCGCTTAAAAAATTGAATGACAAACTCAGTGAGCTACGAACAACAGCCCTCAATCCAACAACTATGCTGACCATTTTTTTGATGATGAGATATTCAATTTGTCTTTCGGCGATTTCTATACAATGGTACACTAGCAATAATACTACTTTCATGTTTATCAGCAGGACCATTTTCCTATTCATTTTTTATGATTGGCTCCTCTGTTTCTGCAAATGTAGTTCCTGGTGCAGCCAATTCTCCTTATAATGTTTCAGTTGTAAAATCACCTCATCGTTAGGTGCTAATGTTGTTGCTCAGTAAACCTTGCTACACTAGATTTATCTACCATGTTTTCAATTTGGTTTCATATTTTCTTACTAAAGTAAATAATAAAAATGTGCAATGGCCGCTCCGACAACCGCTTGGGTTAACATGTTGATTCTAAAATAGGGAAAGAAACAGTGATTGATACTTTTAAATATAACTGATTACATTGGATTCTTTTGTTTACTTCATGATTGTTTACATTAAGATACAGGAAAGGTAACTTAGCATATTTGTGTTGCAGATCGTTGAATTTGGTATGACTGTAAATGAAACGCTGCTTTATCTTGCAATGAGGTAGACTTCTATCTATTTTATTTTGTGTTTTCTGTTTCACTATGTAGTTGCTGAGAGCATTATATATGTAACACAATGTCTGTGACTCAGAAAGTTAGGCCCAACATACTTAAGTTGCATTTTGTGTTTGGTTTTAATATAGTGATTTTTTTGGAGTGTCACAACTTGAGGTTGCCCTTATCAGAATGAAACCTAGGATTACACTTGCTTATGTTCCCAACAAGCGGGAATGACCAAAGATGATCTTTTCAATGCCCCTATGCTGGAATAGTGAAGACATTTTATCTTGGAATATTGAAGCGCTAGCCTAATGTTTTTTTTCTCGGCAGGATGTATCCAAGTGGCAAAGAAGTCAATGAGTCTTGCATTTTTGGCTGCATTTGATTTGTATTAGCTGCTTTTGGGGGACAATATGTTGTGAATAGGCAGAGAACAATTTTTACGAAGTTACCAAGTGATTCCATTAATTTAGGAACCAATACTGTAATATTAAATTCAGGAATTTCCCTAAAATTTCTAAATGCTGGCATTTCTAACCCTCTATTGTATTATACCTATTATATATCTATACATATTATCTATTTCTTTTGAATTGTGAATCACTTTTTAATTTTTTGACAGTTTTATGAATTGTTGATTTTTTTTATACTTTTTAATTCTTTGACAGCTTTACATAGAGAAAGCCTGCCTTGAGTATCTAATTCTATATTATTAATAGTTTTTGTAATAATAATCTATGTGCATTTTTTTGAGTTATGAATTGTTTTTTTTTTTATACTTATATTAATACATTTTATCACAAATATAAATTCTAAAAGATCGCCCGGGCATCCGCCCGGGCTAAGCATCTATTTGTGGTATTATTACTGAAAAAGTGCGAATAAATTCGATACTTCATCTTCATCACGTGTCCTGGAGTTCAATTCATCATCAAATTTAACTTTCGGTTTAAATTTAAAGCCAACGACCATAGTTTTTTTATGCATGTAAAACACTATTGAAAAATTATCCTCCTTCCTTAACGTAAAAAAGAATTAGAATTCAAAATTTTAATAATATATTACAAGATTTATATAATCTAAATCTACCAATATAAAAGGCTCATATGGCAGGGTATACGTATCGTTGCCTGTCAATTTTACACACGTGTTCATTTCTGATTTGATCTTTTTCTTTTTTGTCGCTTTCTTCTTCTCTACTTCCTTCTCAACCCCCTCCGGTTGTCGTTCCCCTCTTCTTCTCTACTTCCTTCTCATTCCGATCATCGTCCAACGTGACTGTGACGTTCTCTGTGAACAAAGGCCAGGAAAAGTATCCGTCAATTCTGGGCGTTGCTTCATCATTCCTCGCTCCGTCGAGCCCTACAAACCCCTGGAAGAATCCCAATCAATCAAGCCCAAACTTCATCCTAATTCGGGTTCGGAAGCTGATCCGGCTAGAATACTGGGGATCCGAAATGATTTTGCGGAGATTGGTGGTAAGTTTCGTACTAGAATATCTATAATATCCACTATTTCTATATCGGAAATTACGAGAAAATGGTTCTTCTGCAATTGGGACCAGATGATGAGGAGGATGCAATTTTTATTATTATTATTTTTTTGATAAAGGAGGAGGACGCAGTTGAAGGGGACATTTCTAGGAAGGGTGTCATTGATATTATTTCTAACGGACTACAAGGTTTTTTAGAATGTAAATCCGCCGGTTAGTTCTCAGTCAAAAGCAGCTCTGAGTTATCCATTACATGATTAGTTAGGTTTAAGCTCTTGCTAAATGAAATATATCTGTAACTAAAAACTGAGTTGATGCACCAACTCCGAGATGTGTTTCCTTGTTTATTGTATGAATTTAGATACGCATTGTCATATGATGGTGATTTTGGTTGAATTATTAGGTCTTATGGTTGGGTTGAATAGGGGACGTTTGTAATCAGTTTGATGATATGCCTCTTAGAGACAAATTAGTTTGGAATATGGTTACTGGTAACAAGATTGGATCCATCCACCTTGTTTACCATATTTCTTGAAGCATTGATATTTAAAGAGTTATGGGATTCTACATTTTCTGAAACTCCTTTTCTGAGATTTTGTTTTTTGGGGATCTAATTTCTGCTAAATGTTGACCTCCTTCTACTGATTGCTTTGGATCAAACTCTTCTTTGTTTATTTTACTTTGAATATGATCTTGTTATCATTATTTTTTTGAATTTTTCAGTACTTGAAAACATGAGAACCTCACTTTGAGAAAGTATTGCTTACTTGATGGAACCCCAAACTCAGACTTGAAAACAAAATATGTGCTTTGCACTTCCTCAAACTTGCTTTCATATCACTGGGGTGAGAGTAATGATGGATTAAATTTCTACCGGGACAAATCTTACCAATTACAATGCGTGATTTACATAAAATCTACAGGAAAAAAAAGTGGAACATGATGCTTGTCCATCAGTTTTGGCGCTGCTTCCCATCAAACGCAGAGTATATTCTCAAGGAACTTAAGAAGAGAATCATTCAAGAACAGGCTAATGATGTTTATTGTTATTGGCAACAACTTTTAAGTTTGAAGGGTTATTTGATAATAAAGTTTTCTTGTTGGATAAATTTCATTGTTCATAAAACTCAACAATAGTTTTGACATATGATAATTATATTGCGTTTCTTTTACAAAGATTTAGATGTTAAAGAAATCCGGGCTGATAACTTTCAAGCACCGCACCTTGTGCGGTGTACCTATACCCTAGTATTATTACTAAGTTGATAAATAGATACGATACCCTATTAAGTTTTTAAATTAATTTTTTAAAATTAAAGTATTAATCTTCCAATGTATGAAGTTTGTAAGTATGGTGACGGTTTCGTTGCAGTTTGCTAGTATAATTCAAAGAAATTCAATCATCATATGTTTAATGGTTAGATCTATGGTTTAGGAGTTTCAATTAACTTGTTTCAGCTGATTTTTAATATTGTATTATTAATTGAATTGAAAATATGGCGTGTGGTACAACAACCATTGCTTATTACAGAAAATCTAAATAGATTTATTCATATAAAACACAACAATTGCATTATAATTTCAGCACTGCAAGTTGTGTATTTTAACTGTATCTTCTTCTTATCAATTGTTATTGGGTCATTTCAGTGAATTAGTAAACTTTTATTTCTACAAAAGATGTACTCCTTCCGTCCCATAATCATTATCCAATTTGAATTTTCATTTTTAGTTCAAATTGTACAAAAAAATGAAATTTTAAACTGTACAATAATTTCGGGACAGAGGGAGTGTGAATTTTACAATGTATATACATACACAACGATGGAGCAATTCATTGTCTCATGGAAAATTCGTCGACTTTTATATCAATTATTTAATAATTTGTAATAAAAAAACACGATGGGCCTACATATATAAAATTAAACCATTAATGAATTAAATTGGTAGGCAACCTTTTCACAGAAGCTTGGTTTTCCCGGAGGAAATGGGAGCCTTATGTTAAAGGAAAGAGCTGTTCGTAGCATTTTCAAGTTATTGGCAACCTGAATCACACTGATCCCTAGAACTTCATAAACGAGAAAGAGGCGGTTCAGAACTTCATTGCGAAGAGTGATGCAATTTACATATACTGGCAACAAAGTTATAAGGAGAAAACGGATTCAACAAGGTGATATCTGATAAGAAAACTTCATATTTTCATGCCTTGAACAGAAGCAGATTACGTAACAGACAATTTCTCTTGAGAATCATGAAGCATTATTAGTTGAAGATTGGCATGAAGTTGAACAACATTCCTTCAAAAAGTTTCAGGGATTTGTCAGGAGATCGAGGAGAGACCACAAGCCTTGAAGGAGATGCTTTGATGTTTGCCTATAGCTCAAAAACATGCAGCAACAAGCTTCTTAACTAAAAGTATTACCGACGAGGAAATATCACGCCCAAGATCATGGGAGCAGCAGTTCAGGGAATGGCAATCAGAAGGAGAAACTCGAAAGGTGGAAAAAGCACAAAGATGGCACAAGAGCTGAATAGTTTCAGCGACAACAAACCCAATCTATACTCTAAACATATCCTTATTTAGCATACATCAATCATAATCATTACACTGAGATTTAATTTTGATAAGGGCTACTGCTACTACCTCTTGTCATAGAACAAGGGTGCATAAGGATCACCCTCTCTACAAGCCATCAAATATTCCTCGGCCATAAAACATCGGTCGACTAGAGAAGCGATGGACAACATTAGACATATATATCCTGAGACTACTACCAAGGTCAGCTCCAATGAATTCTCTTTAACTACAGACTATGTAAAAATGAAAAGATCCTGTGTCACTAAGCTGTTAGGTTATGCCCCCAAGAAGCCAAAATCCATGAAGAGACTTTGAATCCGATGACCTCTCCTGTTAAGTTTCCCTTCACCAGAATGTTAAGCATCATTGTTTATATGCTGGTCATTCCTACCAGACCTCGGGTCATCTTGCCCAGAGACTTCACCTAGCCTCTCCTGCATATTTACAAGGCTTTAAGGCAAATTGCTCTCTAAAAAAGTAGGCACTGCAAGCTAACAACTCAGCTACTAGACTGTTCTTGAATCCAAAGGCACAAATACTACTCATGATTACAAGTTATTAGAAAAAGAAGAAGCTAATAAGGAGTCAGAAAACAAGAAAAAGGGAGATTGTTGCAATCCTGCATCCCACATTCCCACTCAGCAATTACAAGTAAAAAAATAAAATTAAAAAAAACACCTACCGTCATTGGGGCAAAAGATTAAGTCACCTTCCCCTTTCAAAAAAACAAGGAAACAAAAACACCTTCCAGGAGAGAGGAAAAGAACAAAAGCAAGAAAGGAAACACCTGAGAAAACCCATTATTTCTGAAGTACCATCCAAATACCTTAAGGGCGGCATGCTGAGAATAGAGTTGATCATAATCACTCCTGAGACGAGCCACTTCAGCTCTAAGGGAGGCATTTTCTTCTTTCAAAGCTTCGGCACGCTGGGCGAGTTCATCGCATTCTGCCTGTTAAAGCATATACAAGTTGGTTAAAGCATAGTTTCAAATCTCCAAGAACTTCAAACATACAATTGATCCAGAAAACCGCTTGTCTAGTCCTCACCTGCTTGCGAAGCCTAGATCTACGGGCCGATTCTCTGTTTGACTGCTTTCTTCTCTGTCTCTTCAGCTCCCTTTCATCCTGTGTTCAAGGTGGAAAAGAGACTAATTACTAGCAAATAAATTTCATGCAATAACAAAAATGAGAAACTGTATACAGCCATGTCCAGAGAAAGAGTCTGTGACTGCATATACTGTGTTACCACCACGAACAATTAGAGGCTACGACTCGACAAAGATTTACACACAGCCTTGTCCAAACACAATGATAAATTCAGGCAACCAAACAGGAAGAACAGAGGGCAATGAGAAGATCGGAACACAAAACAGTAATCAATCATCAAAATACAGTTAAAAATCAGGACGGATGTATGCATTCTTTTATGCTGTTTTAATGTTGCAAAGGTCTGAATGCCATAGTTCAACTCTAAATTTATCAAATTATTTCAAGTGCTATACTTAGCCGACACCTGGTTGGGTTATAGGCTTAGTTGACTTTTTTTTTCTTTTTCTTTTTTTTTTTTTTGGGGGTTGAAATTGATTATCGTTAAATGGCTCTATTATATTCCAGTGCTTTTTGTAATAGCGAAGTTACTTCAAATGACACAATGTATCTTGGGTCACAATGGAAACAGGCTCTTTGTATAATTACAAGGGTAAGGTTGCATACATCTGAACCCCCCAAAACCCAACTTGGTTTGGAATATATTGTACATGTTGAGGTTGCTGTGAATGTGATGAAATTGATTTTTCGTTTCCAAGCGAGAGAAACGTGAGGAATTATAGACTGGTATTACAGATTGTTAGATATTGTTAGTACTATAGAGAGAAATTTGTGAGTTCTTGTTGGTACTATAGATAGTTAAATTATCATGTTTTAGTAAAATTTCTTAAGCACAGTGAGCAGCTCCTAACCTCCTAACCATAATTGCACACCCAGCACTAATAATTTGCTGCCTATTCAATCCATATATCTTCATTAACAATTTAACATCATTTCTCACCTATTTTCCCAAATTAAACAAGTAATAACACTAAGCTAGTATTGAACCTCAAATTCTCAGTCTTTATCAGTTACCACAAATCATACACATCTGAATCATTATTATACAAGACAGCCGCGATTAGATCCTAATTAAACCAATGCACCCAAGATGAAATTGAGTAACATGTGCTTAATTCAAAAGAAAATGATTAAAAGATAAATAAGAATGGCCAAAAATATTAAGAGAAACAAATATATGGACAAGGCCACAACCATAGTATAAAGATTCAACAAAGTGTAACAAGCAATAAATTTGAAATAATGGAACCTGAATAGGCCAAAGTTGCGACTGAACACCATCCCTTCCAGCAGGGACTCCTCCAGCAACAGGTGCAGCGGGAACCTTCCCACGCATCGCAGGGACAGCGGGAGAAGCGGCAGCGTTCCAATAGTCCATTCCAATATTTAAATTAGTGGTGGGACCAGCAACAACTGCTGGAGCTCCAGGTGCTGACAACGGTACAATAGCCATGGACATAGGATGAGATGCATTGGATCCACCATTTTGTGAACCATGTGTGGCACTACCGTTCTGGGATGTCTCGGCTGTATAGGGAAAATAGACTTTACTAAGCATCAAGATTGCCTAAAATTAAATAAACTGCAAAACAGAAAAACACTGCAATAACCATACCTGAGTCTTGCCTGTGACCTGACTTCCCTTGAGAATCCTTGAAAAAAAAGCAAGGAAGAATATTAGGGGCAATGTTAGGCAGAAGGCACTTATGAGAAAGTAGTAGATGAAACATGTATGCCAGCTTCTAAATATACAAAAAGGTTCCTCTCGTCACTCTTGTACAAAAAATAAAATGAAAAAGTTATCAAAAATTGGAAGAGTAATGAGCATATGGTGAAACCTCCCAATATACTTCAAAGTACTGTTATGAACACTTTCTTGCACATGTTCAAGAACGATGATTCCTCATTGTATTACCACTTGATTAGGAGCTGATGTAACAGAAAGTTCTTCAAAAGCTAGAAACTCACAGAAAGACCACAAAGAATAATTTGTGATCCGTGGGCCCTCACTTCATGACACAACATTCTCAAGAATGCACAATTTGGGGTAGACGGGCCTACAACTGAAACTCTAGAAAAATCTATCCATATAAATTATTCCACAACAGGTGATACCTACATTTTGAGAATTGGCATCGCTTCCTTCACTTGTACCTTCACTTGCACTGTCGCCACTGAAAAGCCAGAATAATCATTCTTTTAAAATAGCAAAAGATAGAACAAGAACTAAATCATCTAATTTTGTAAGCATCAACCATAAAGAGGACACTACCCACAAGAACCCAAAATGGCAGAATTAACAAATTGCAGTCATCTCAAAAACCTAATATGCCTAATATCTTCACGTTCTTCCGAAATCTAACCGTAGCCCCACTACTTGAACACCATCATTCCCCTCCCCATAGCTTCAGCCCGGCGAAGTGCAGGAAGTTCACTTTCACATTGTAACAACTGTAGTATTTAAAATGCAACAACTTTAGTGTTTAACCGAATCCCCCTAAGATCTTTTCCAGCTACTAGAATAACAAAGTGGGTTACACTTCAAACAAAATAAACAAATACCCAAAAAAAAAAAAAAATTCATTAGGCAACAATAGAAAAACCGAACTAATACAACTAATCGTCAAACATTCCCAGTGTCCCAATCAAATTCTCAATTTTGCTGATCTTACATCAAATGCAACGAACTTTTACGACTACTAAAGTGAAAGCGTATTGGACCACTATCATCAAAAACCCAGATCCCCAGGCTGGACTCACAGATAAGTGACCTCTCATGATTAGAAAATGGCCATACCTAGATATGCAAAAACCATTCATCTTTACAATCCAAAATATGTGTTAGCAAAGTGAAGATGAACATGAAAAACAAGAGGCAATATAGTTACTTTGGCTTCCATATTAACTTTTTCACTTACTCAAACCTTGACTTTTCATACTTAGAATAAAGCAAGCATTGAAAAACATACCTTTTTGAACAACCACCATTAGCTGATGCTCCAGAGGTTTTACCAGGTTCATTATTCCTCCCAGTAATCATGTTCAAACTTCCTAGACTTCCCTTTGATCTTTTAATAGGAAGTTTTTCCTTTCCTTCAGATGGCTTACCATCGAATTCCGCATTTCCAGCAGATGTAACCTACAGCGATTTCAATGTTGAGTCTGAAACAGTGTCTAGACCCAAAGATAGGCTTGACTAACAGCACAAAATAACTAGGAATGGAACAAAGATTGCCAGTTCAGATGCTTACAGAAGCTTCAGCAATCCCATTTGGAGAAGGCACTGCAAACGGACTGAACGGATAAGACCCCTGTTTAAAGATTATAAAAGCACGCATCTCTCAGGAGCCATAAAACGAGCCTTGAAAAGAAGAAAAATACTTTGGACCAAAAAAAGGAAACTATGGAAGAAGAATGGCATAAGATGTAAAATACCGGGGGCATGGAATGTGCATATATGCCACCAGGAGGATACATCGCAACATACGGATGAGGTGGAGTCCCATATGGTGGCATAAATTGCTGCGTGATAAGATAGGCAATAAAAATCACAATTTGTTGATTGTAAACAAACTTTTCTGGATGATAAATTAGAATCTCCAATTATGTTCTTGCATTAGCATAATGAAATTTAAAAAGTTGAAACACCCAAATAAAACTAATTACAAAACAAGAACCTTTATATGCTCACACATGCAGAGCACCAATTAATGTAGCCAAGAAAACTCACTAGAAGGAGAATAATGGGGGAAGCATGAGAACGAGGTTCAATTTATTTTTCTTTAGGATCTATTATCTGTAAAAAAAAGGGTGTGTTGCACTCTATACAAGCACAATGTGATATACCTGGACCCCCCACATGTAGGGGTGTGGTTGAGGACTTGATGCCAAAAATCCAGCTGGAGGCATATGAGAGTATGCCTGCAGATTACCAAATGCCACGCCCTTCAGTAACAACAAAATATGAAAGAGAATAAATTTACTAAAATTTGCTACTAGAAAAATGTCAACCTGAAACCCAGGCCACTCTGCGGCACCAGTAGTTGCAGCTGAAGACTGCTCCTGATATAAACAAGCAAAATACAAACTCTATCACCAAAGATACAAGAAAGAGGAAAAAGAAGGGCTAAAAGTTGAAATGGTAAGACACTGTTGTACCTGTGAGGTAGGAGTCTTTGGTTCTTTAGACTCCTTTGCCGCCTCCTTGGAAGATTTATCCATCTCATTACTACCCATTACTGGTCAACTGCACCACAGCTCTCACAACTAACCAAAAGTTTCAATCATTCCATTACTCCAGGGCTTGCTTCAATAAATATCTAAAGATCATTGAAAAAAAGCCTTAGTAATGCTATAGCTACAAATTAACTAACTCTATATCAAGCTGGAAGGAAAAGCTGTAAATCATCAAATCAGCACCCTCAAACAGTCATTAACAGTAAAGCCCAAAGAACTATGCAAAGTGCAGCAACTCGATAGCCGAATTATTGAAAACACACCCTTCAATACCTTGCTAACCCATAATTCATCGAGCATAAATCAAATGCAAATTCAATCAAGTTTCTAAAAAGAAACAACCTTAGGTCTTTCTATAAAAACCAATATCGAAGATATACCATTCAATCTGCAATCCTTCGGAATTGAAAGTAAACTAACGATTTTCATTTCCAACCCAAAACCAAAAAAAAAGAAAAAAATGATTAAGCCAGCAGTATATGCAATTGCGTACGTAAATTTCCAAAAGGGGAAAAACTCATTATTTGGCAGTGCGGAAGCAAAAGACAGAGCTAAATTTGTAAGTTTCATTACCTCAGAACGAAACAGACCGAAATAGCTCGTGAATTTCGACCAGTGAGCCAAGTCAACCCCCAGAACAGCTAGAAAACTCGTTGAATAAAAGCCAATCCAATTCAATTTTGCAGATAGCTAATCGGAAAGTTAATTCCAGATGAGATGGGGCGGGGGGAATTTAGGGCGAGGATTTAGATGTGGGAAGAGTTAGGGTTCCGTCGTACGCCGGCGGAAGATCGTCGGCAGAGCACGGGGCGTCGCTGTCGGAATGATTTGCAGCGAGACTCGGCAGGTAGAAGAGAGAGAGAAAGGAAGGAAGCGAGCGAGAGGTGTGGTTTTCCAATTGGACTGATGATTGATGATTTGATTGGAGTCGTGACTGATCCAACGGCTGAGATTAGGTTTCAGTATGGTTATTTGTACACACGGCCAATTGTACGAAGTTCTTCTGTTTTACTTGGGTTGGTTATTGTTAGTTGAGACTTGATACTTGAGGGAGTTATTTTAATTTTGATTTCTTTTTCTAACGCAGTCCTTTTAATTTTAATTAAATTAATTGGCTAAAATTACAAAAAATACTCAAGGTGTGCCTAACGAGTAAAACAAAAAAGTGAAAATAGCAACCAAAATAAAATTTACACAATACTATTGAAATGTGTAACATGGAAAAAAGTGATAATACTATGGAGGATCTTGTGTCTAAACTCAACAAAAGAAAATGTGAAATTACACATGCACGAAAAAAATCATAATACAATTTCAGACGACTCTTGATTTGGGTTATGTAAATAGCTTCCGAGTTATGATAAAATATCCAAATGAATCTATTTTTTGGTGAAATTAAAAACAATTCCCCCTTGCAAGCTTTTTCCTTCTTTTTTTTTTTCCCTTTCTTAATTTCATGTTTTTTTTATTTTATTTTTTTTCCTTTTCTCATCTTCTTCATTTCAATTTTTTTTTTGAGAAAATAAAATAATAAAAAGTTAAACAACAATGAAGATGATGAAGTGATCATTCACGAAAAAGTATCCACCAATCTGATTTTCCTGATAATTTATGAATCTCATTTTAATACAGACTTCGTATGGAAAATAATTATAATAAACAGTGATCAAAATCAATAAACGGTGAAAATTTTAACACATAATACAGTTAATGTAAAATTGTGTAAAACAATTTGAAAGCATCACATAAGTGGTATATTTGTTCAATAAGCACACTGCACAATTGTGTTTGTTTGTTTCACAACTCATTTTACATTTTCACTCATTTTACCTCTTAAACATAAAACCCAATGGAAAATAAAACATCATCCAAACAACTTTCTGATTTACATTTTAAATTCCAACTTGAAACACTTTTTGTTAGTGTAAGGACTATTTTGGAATTAACAATAGTTCAGTGACAAATTTGGCAAGATTCCGTTGTTTAGTGATTGTATTTAGAAATTTTTTTTTAAGTGACTATAATTGACAGTATTTAATTGTTCAGTGATGACTCGCGCTTGATATTTCAAAATGTAGTTCAAAATATTTTTTTTTAAAACCAACTTCCAAACAACTTTTTGCTCAAAATATCATCGAAACAACATTTTCATTTCCTATTTGATTTTTAATTTGAAACATTTTCTACTTTTAAGTGACAAAATGAAATGTAAGCTGACGTCTAAACAAGCACGTCACTTTCTCTAGTATATAGATGTATCAAAAGAGTGATTGTTGTATTGCATATTTAGAGAACATGGAATGTAGTGACAATGAATTCGAAAATAATTTGGACATTTTTACGAAGCTTAGTAATAATAAAAAATTTCACTAACGTCATATGACTATTTGTGTGTGCATTGGAGGATTGGATGTGCTATGTTGGAAATTTGAAAGGTCAATTCCGCTATTTAAAGACACCTATGGGGTTTTTCGATATTTCCAACTTTAGTCATTTTGAAAATATAATAATAATAATAATAGTATAAAAATAAAAACCAACCCCCATTATTTTCCTCTCCGGCTCTCCGCGACTGTAAAACCCCCCTCCTGCCTTTTCCTGTCGTGCCCTCCACTCTTCTCTTACTCTAAACCAAAAGGCCGTGTCCAAGTCGCCGGCGTCCAATCCAGCCACCGTGATTGTCAATTCAGGTTTTCTTTTTTTTCTCTTTTCCTTTTATTTTTTATGTGGGTTTGATCATTGAGTGTTGTAGAGAACAAAGATTATACTTCCCGGATTGTTTTGTTAACACCCATATATCATGTGTTATGTTTAACATTATAAGATTTTGGAGAACTGTTAAAGATTCAAGCTTTATTGTAGGCATGTGTTGGTGGTTAAATAATTTTTTTCCCATGAAGTTTCTTTATGATCTCCTGCATTGTTCTATCAAGAAGTTTAGAATTCTATGATTTTGAATGTCTTGTTCTGGGTTTCTCCTTTTTTTTTTTCATGCAATTAGACTTATTAATCAAGAAAGAATGGATCTTGTTAATAAAACATTTCCACTTATATTAGTCCAGTATGCTTATCATCGTCTCACAAATGTTTAATTGTGTTTTATACTCCATTAAATAAAAATGATATTGTTTGAAGTATCTTGGATCAATACATTTTGAAGCACGGGTGGGTTTGCGTTGTTTTTATTGGTTTTCTATTGGTTCTTGTTGTGTATTTAGGTTCTTTTTACCTTAGGCTAGTTAACTGTGGTTGGATTTTAATGGCATTTCAGGGTTCGGATCATGGGTTTGAAAAACAAAAGGTGGACTTCAGAATGGTAGATCGAATTAAATGGATCTGCTTTGCTGTTATTACTGTTTTTCAACACTCTCAAGCAAGTCAGTCATTGTTGCGTAGCATTTCAGGCTTTAATTTGTAGTGTAAAGATGTGAACGTTGTTAGAGAACCGCTCTTTGCATGTAGCAAGATGTGCAAAAAAGCATTGGGCTAGTTCATGTAGCTCTACTATAACCCCTTTCCAGAACCTCTAATGTTCATTTCACTGCTCTGACTTCAAAAAAGAAGAATCCCGTGCCAAATATTGGAATTGTGCAGTATCTTTCACCCTTTTTCCAGGGACTTTTTGATATCGATTTTTAAAAAATTGGGCTATGAGATAAAGTTTTTCTTTTTAGAAATAACGTTTGTTCCACATGTTTTTAACTGATTAGTTTGATACTGTTCTGGCATCCTCTTTGCTTCATTATGTGCTAAGGACGATTTTAAAAGTTTAAATTTCTTGTACGACTCTTCTGAAAATAATTTTAGAAAGGAGTCCTGGCTATCAACAGAAATAGAAATATAGATGTATGTTTTTGCATGTGGCGCAATTAGAATTTCTGTACCTCCAAAATGATACACCACTTATATGGTATGTAAATGAGAAACAAGGACAATATGTCTGAGCTAATTAGAGTGTAACACTAAAGGCTTAAGAGTAAAGCATGCTTTGTATCATTCTACAATGTGAAGTGGTCCCTTGTTGAATGTTATTTTTCAAGTTATCCTTGGGGAATAGTTAGATTTCTGATTTCTGATTCCTTTTCCATTGATTTTGCTCTACTGAATCCTTCTACTTGTGCCTTCTAACCTTTTGATAATTTCATCATGACAAGTGTTTTGAATGGCTGTGCCAACTGACTCTGAGCAATGAATTATAGCTTGTATTTATCATGTAGACAAACAAACCATTTCTCCTGTTTGAAAGTAGAGATTGTCAATTGCGGCTGGCTTTCATGAGCGATACTTGGTTTTATAATCTCCTTTTTAGCGGCTAAGAATTTAACTGCCTATTCCCTTTCAATTTTTGGTGAAGTTTTTTGCTTCATAAAATAGGCCTTGCTAATTTGCAGGCTTCAGGTTTTCGTTTGCTTTTTCTGTTGATTAAATATAATTTATAATTTGGGCAGTATACTTGAGAGGTTGAAGGCTGTGATTTTGGAGGTTAAAGGCTGTGTTGTGGTAAAGCTTCAATTCTAAATGTATTGAAGCTTACCTGTGAGTTTTTACCTAACCAAACATCGAGTGAGTATACATGCAATGGAAAGAGGTGAAAGTTCTACTCCTCCATCCAACAGTTCCGTTAGCAATGACAATGTTTGGGCAAAACTTGTACCCTCAGATTCACGATATTCTGATATTGAATTGACTTCGAACGAGACACTTGTATGCTCAGAGATAAGTATCTCATCTTCCGGTAAAAGTGAGTGGTGCAGAATCACAAGGAATATGGATCTTGTTTCGGCCACATTCCATAACAGGAGAGGAAACAAAGTTCTTGTGGATGAGATAGTTGTCCGGGGTGATGATACAGCTGTCATCAGATGCGGTAGTGAAATCATTCCTGGGTTTTCTGGTGATGGTGAAGGGCTTTTGAGGTATAGATTCAAAGTAATGCCTGCCCAAGAATCTGACAAAAAACAGTTGAACATTGTTCTGGATGCTGAGCATGCAAAGTGCTCTATCTGCCTTAATGTTTGGCATGATGTGGTGACTGTTGCTCCGTGCCTTCATAACTTTTGCAATGGATGTTTCTCGGAGTGGCTAAGAAGGTCCCAAGAGAAACGTGCAGATGTTCTCTGTCCTCAATGCAGATCAGTTGTACAGTTTGTTGGAAGAAACCATTTTCTACATGGTATCGAGGAGGATTTATTGCAGGCAGATGATTCACTCAGAAGATCAGCTGAAGAAATTGCTGTCTTAGACTCTTATGCATCCATCAGGTCTCCTTTGGTCATGAGCACCAGCAGGCGGAAAAGATCACGTTCAGTTCCAGACAACGAAAATAGGGAGGTAGCTTGTCGACAGTGTGCCACTGAGTTTGCTGGATACAAGTGCAACCCCAGCACAGTTCACCTGCAATGTCATGGATGCGGTGGAATGATGCCCTCAAGAACTAATAATGTTCCACAACAGTGTTTAGGATGTGATAGAGCATTTTGTGGTGCTTATTGGCATGCTCAGGGTGTTGCCAGAGGTGATGCTTACCCAATTTGTAGTCCCGAGACTTTTCAGCCGATTGCTGAGCGTATTACCACTAGAATGCCCTTTTGGGTACATGAAAAAAACCGGCATGAACAAGATATAACCGAAAGTTGCATTCAGAGGATGGGTAGCTCATTGCAAGATGTGATCTCTGAATGGGTTACGAAAATGGAGAATCAAGAATTGGATCGAACATTTATGCAACTAAATCATGCTGAGTTGATAACTGCTCGGACACATACTTGCAATGATTGTTATGGTAAAATAGTTTCATTCCTTTTGTACTGGTTTCGGATAACAATGCCGATGCGTTTTCTCTCCCCGGAGGCTTCTCAAAGGGAAGATTGCTGGTATGGGTATGCATGCAGAACACAGCATCACAATGAAGAGCATGCCCGGAAGCGAAACCATGTGTGCCGGCCAACGCGAGGTACACATAGGTGAAGAACATAGGGCTTACAGAAAACTGAGGAAAGGCAAGCATTATTTTCTACTGTTGCACTGTACAAAGATAAGATCCTCGGTTGTCAATCATCAGTTTTCTTTCATCTGTTCTGTTATTTTGTTAAGCAATAATCCCCTTCAGAATTTCTTTTCTGTAGAAGGGTGAAAATGATTATTGTGATTCCTCCATTTTGTGACGAGTATTACAAGGTCTTTTTTACATAATCGTTTTCTTTGTACTTGTTTCGTTTCAAATAATCCATTAATTTAACTCTTTCGCTACAAATTTTGGGATGGATGGAACAACTACAATGTGAAAATCTATTCGGTTGGTTTTGGACATCTAATTTCTGATTAAATTTGCTAATTCAGCAATGTTCATGATCTTTTCCTAACTCATAAGTCTCTCAAATTAGACTTTTTTAATTGTACTTTAGCATTGGTTTCATCTCTCTCGTTACTTAAATGTGAAAGCGGATTTTCTTTTCTTTTCTTTTTTTTTTTCCTGACCTTGGAAAGAAATTTATCCAAATTTGGATCAATCGATACATTTGATTCGAACATCAAGTACCTAATATTATTATTAATAAAAAAGTGTTCTTCATTTTATTTTTCCAGATCTATGGTGCTATTTAATAGAATAGATATTCCACAACATATATTCAGCATAGTGATCCATGAATGGATTTGCTGCATTTTCTTACTTGAATTTGTATACAATGAAACTACAGAGAAACTCTACAGCATATGCACCGCACCATACAGTATTGTTGAACAACTTTTACGCTAAAGCATTATCAAGAAAAACTGTTATTGATCAATAACTAAAATTGTATATAGGTGTTTTACTAGATTAACTTTTATTGATAAAATTCTAACAAGTACATTGCTACAAATTATTTTTTGAATAGCACTGTTACTTCTTTTACTACTACTCAAAAAGTTAAATTTGTAGAATCGACTCCAACTTGATAAAAAATTAAGAACATATACATCAATCACTAAAATTTTGACGTCAATAATATGAGACGATTATGTATAAAATAATTATTAGGATTCATTTCAACTATTAGTAGGAGAAATAAGCTCACTTTTAACAAACTAATACCCAATAAAATACAAAAGTAAAACATGTAAATCATTCGAAAACATTCAACCTGAAATTAAATGATAGGACCTGGATAATGCTAGGAGATAAAAATGAGAAGAAGAAAAGAGCCCAGTAATATTTTTTTAAGGGTACATCAGTATTCACAATCTTGTAAAAATCATTTCTTTAAAAAATACTACTCCCTCTGTCCCAAAATTATTGTCCAGTTTGAGATTTTACTTTTAGTTCAATTTGAACTAGAAATGAAAGCTTAAATTGGACAATAATTATGGAACAGAGGGAATACTATAATACTTATGATATGCACTCTCTATTTCCTATATATATATATATATATATATATATATATATATATATATATATACTCCAGTTTTGAAATTCCTTCTGTTTTTCTTACAAATCTACAAACTCAATGTAAATTATTTTGAGGGAATAGTTTCTAAGAAATTAAATATTAAATTATTTGGATAATCGTAAAGGGGGCCAAAAAAAACCGTAGGCATCAAACGACGAACACAGCTTAAAACCGTAGATATCATAATCATCGCATCAGCGCCAAAGGAGACCGACAATCAAATATCAGCTGCCTCAGAAATCTGATTACGTTTAATTTTGTCTTTTTTAATTTTTTTTCTTTACTTTTTTTTTCCCTCGTTTTTCCATAATCCTTCATTTCACCTCCTACAATCAAAAACCACACACCCCAAGCTCCCCATTCAAAATTACTTTCACATATCTCCTGTTGCTCTGATAATCCTATCTTGCTTGCCATATCAATCCAATCTTCTGTTGCGTTTCTTCATCGTTTCTTTCTTCAATCACCATGAGCTACGAAAACGATCCGTAAGTGTTTTTTTCCCCCTCTCTCGATTAAATCGAACTAGGGTTAGGGTTTTTCATTCCCCCCCTTTCGATTTTCAATTTTGGGGATTTTTGAATTTGGGGGTTCTGTCCGTTTGTTTTTTCAGGTATAGGGATGAAGACGGTGAGGCGTTGATGAATTATGATGATCTCAACTCAGATCCTGAACCGCAGGAGCCGAATCAGAATGATCTTCTCGACGACAATTTTGACGACGAGAATGACGGCGGTTGGAATCGGGAGCCTTCACCGGCGACTCCTGTTCACGATGATTTCAAGGCTAAGCCTCGCAAACGGCTGATTAAGAAGTCCGGGGCAAGTGAGCTGGCGCCGGATGATTATGGAGTTGGGATGGACGATGACGTCGCTGACTTTGTGAGGGATGAGTCCGAAGATGGTGGTAGGCTGCCTTCTTCTTCGTCTGGAGGTGGGAGTGGGATTAAGAGGAAGAAGTTTGGGAAGGAAATCAGTGGGGGTGAAAGGAGAAAGGAGAAGAAGAGGAGTGAAGGGAAGGGGGAGAAGAAGTTCAAGGCTAGCAAAGCAGGAGGAGGGCGGTCAAGGGACCGTGAAGGTGATCGTGAGATGAAGGAGATGTGGGAAACTGTAGCTGGAGGGGATTCCGAGGTTTGTAGCTCATTTCCTTTGCCAATACCTGATTTATATGTGTGTATCATGTCATCTAGTTTGTGTTCTGAGATATGCTCATTTTGGTTGTAAGGAATATCTGGGGTTGGTGGGTCTACTTTAGCTTTTGGGTGCTAAAAATAACAGGGAGTTCAAAATTAAATATTGGTGCATAGTTGTGGGATTGTGATGCATTTAAGGGAATGTTTCACATCTTGGTTGGCATTCCCTCTTTGAATTAATACCCTTGTTGTGAAGATGATAATCAATGCTTTGCTGGGTAGTGATGGCATGTATGTAGCCATGTGTATTTGATCTTGAGCTTTTTCAATTTTCTCAATCTGGCTGAATTTGTAATTGAGTTTTCTTCTTTGTTTTTGGTTTTTTGATGGCTAAGTTTTCTTCTTTGTTATCTACAATGTGACATGGTTTAATTGCGTTGGCTTTGGTTTAGGATGATAGAGACGGTGTGAGGACATTAGACGATGACAATTTCATAGATGACTCAGGCGTAGACCCAGCTGATCGGTATGGAAGTGATCGTGAACGTTCTCCGGGTGATGCGCCCCAGGTTCTGATGCTACTCTTATTATCTTTTCTGGTTTACCGTTCTGGCCAATTTCGTTTATGTATGTGGGAGATATTGGAAGCAATTTTTCTACTTTATGAGGCTTTCATGAAGTTTGGTTTTAATTGGATCTTTCAAGTGGATGATTCCTGTTCGATGTGATTTGATAGGCAGAGGAAGGGGAGGAGGATGACGAAATCAAGCAGCTCTTTAAAATTGGTAAGAAAAAGAAGAAAACTGAGAAAAGCGCTGGAGAGATTGCGTATTTAGTTGAGAGTGTAATGGCAGAGCTTGAAGCTGCTGCGGAAAATGATGCTGACTTAAATAGAGAAAATAAACCAGCAATAAATAAACTTAAGAAGCTGCCTCTTCTAACGGAAGTGCTGTCAAAGTAAGTTCGCTAAGTTCACTATCTGTTTTGTTCCTGAGGTCATATTTATCTACTACAGTCCTACTGTTGCTCTGACCTATTATGGTTTCATTTCATATGTTTCAGGAAGCAGCTTCAACACGAATTTTTAGACCATGGTGTTCTTGCTCTCTTGAAAACCTGGCTTGAACCCCTTCCTGATGGAAGCTTGCCCAATATCAACATCCGAGCTGCAATTTTGAAAATTCTTACTGATGTAAGGATATATCTTCCTAATTTTCATGTGATAAAGGAGTGCTTTTTAATGTTTATAATGGATATAAGAAATTTCATCTTGTGCTGCAGTTTCCAATTGACTTGGAGCAATTTGATAGGCGGGAGCAGCTAAAAAAAAGTTCTCTTGGGAAGGTCAGGCCGTTCACTTCTGATAGGAAGAATGAAAGATTATTTACTTCCTTCAGTGTGACTACGAGATGAGGTTGTTTTTTAATGTGTTGAATCTTTTTACAGGTTATTATGTTTCTGTCAAAGTCTGATGAGGAGACCCCTGCTAATCGGAGACTTGCTAAGGATTTGGTTGATCAATGGGTAATATTTACTTGCTAATTGAATTGTCTTTTTCTTTGGTGTTCTGCCTCAGCCCTTTCCTTGTATGCGCATGAAAGGAAAAAAAATGAAAAGGGTGGTGACCTTGTAAAAAAATTGGATGTAACTTTATGGTAGTAGTTAAAATAGAGGTCTATTTTGGAAACTGTTCGACTCTTGGATGGAGACCTTGATACTGTAAATTATTTTCTGTATTCGTGCTTCATAAAATGGTCTAATGAGTTCTAGTCTAATCTTTTATGCAGAGTCGACCAATTTTCAATAAGAGCACAAGGTTTGAGGATATGCGGAACTATGAAAATGAGAAGGCTGCCTTCAGGAGATCATCAGTTAAAAAGTAATTTGAATATTTTATTTCCCCCTTTTGGGTGTATCTCTTGAAATTGCATAATGAACTGGGAAGATAATGTATCCTCATATTTCTGCCTTGTGCCAGGCCAATGAGTAAAGGTGCAGGGATGGAGTCCAGAGATGATGATCTTGACTTGGCTGGCTATTCACAGTAAGTTCCTTCTTAGACTTGGTGTTTTCAGTGCAGTTTCTTTCATAAATGTTGTGATTCACATGGGTTTGAGTTTGGTTTGTTTGTGTGTTTTTCAGGGGGTCTAAATCTGGCCAGTCATCTTCTAGACAGCATGCCTCTAGACCTGAGGCCATGTCTATGGACTTTCTGGTGCGGCCACAGTCGAAAATTGATCCCGAGGAAGTCAGGGCACGGGCTAAACAAATGGTGCAAGATCAGCGTCGGCAGAAGGTTGGTTATTATTTGCTTAACTGGTGCTTGGAAAAGAACTTATGCTGCAGGTTGAAGAGTTGATGTATTTTCAGGATTGACTTGGGTGATGATGCTTTAATTTTTATTTGTGATGGTACTTCCTTTGAGAGAAACAAGGATCGACTTTTTTCATCTTAGTAACCTTTGCACTAGTATGTCTTGCCCCTTTTTGTTCATGAAGTAATACAACAAACGAATGTGTTTTCGAAGATGGTGCTATGTGAATGTTGCATCTATTCTTTAAATTGGTATTATGTTGGAGATCTCTTCAGCTTCTTTTCCACCTCTCTTTAATGAAATTTTCACATCTGACCTTGTTGTCATCTTCCTTTGGCATGAATATGGCTAAGACGGTTGTGTTATGATGAGATTTGCAGTCCTGTTTTTATTTAACTTTAATTTTTTGAATTATTTTACCAGAGTTGCATATTTTATCTTTCTTTCATGTGTCCTTGTGATGCTGGTTATATGTGTCTGCAGCCTCTACTTTTGACAGCGTTCTTTATGTGGTTTTGTTGCTTTGGAAATCAATTCATCATATTGTTTGTCCTTTGGTTTGCTGGCAGATGAATAAGAAGTTGCAGCAGTTAAAAGCTCCGAAGAGAAGGCAGCTTCAAGCTACAAAGCTTAGCGTGGAAGGACGAGGCATGGTCAAGTACTTGTAATGGCATTATTTGTTCCTTTGCTCGGCTTGCTGAGTGAATGCTGTTTGTGGGACGAGTTGGGAAGAGGTTGGGTGCCCTGAATAATTTGGTACATCAGCACAGCATACCCTCGTAACCTGCTTTAAAAATTTCATGGGAGGAATTCTTCAGGTACTCCAAGAAAGATTGGCAAACAATTGTCATGAAATTGCTTCAAGATTGATATGGTTTACTGGTGCCGGAAAGTGCTGTCCTAGCTGCTGGTGTACTTTACTTTAAGTTTATTACAAATTGGAAGACACATTGTTTCATATATAATCCCCCAAGTTCCATTAGTGTTTTTAGTAGAGGCGGCCGGTGCTGCTGTGTTTTCAATTGTATAAGAATCTCGGAATGTGTTATTTACATGTGGATTGGATTCATGCCCTCTGAAAGAGTTTTGTATTGGGTTTTGGCAGTTTTTTTGTTTCTTCTTTTTTGAGATCTTTTTGTTATAAGCTTAGAAATTCCAGTTTCCTTTGTCTACTGTGTTTGCATTTAATGATTGGTGTAAGAATTTAACATAACCCTACATTAAAACCCGAAGCATATCTATTACTACTTATCTACTACTAGTTCTTGCAACGAATGGCATCTTCCTTCATCCCACACAAATAACGCACAAAAGTAAGAACTAAAGAAGTAAAATAAGGAAAAGAGTGGAAGCGTCTGGGAATCTCTCCATTACAGTTATCGCTTAAAATAAAACGGTTAAAAACATCTCAAATCAGGCACAAAGCTAAGAAGTAACAAGAGTGCGATCAGTTGTCTTCTGCTTAGACTCTAGGTCTAAAAGCTTCTGAAAATTCAAATGTACAAGGAGACGGAGCTCAGAAGGTTTCAATTTTGGTTGGGAGTCGGGCTGAACCCTAAACCTTGGCGGGAAGTCCAGTTTTTACACTCGGCAACTTTGGCATCTTCTTTGGCGTTTCTTCCAATACCCATGCCTTCAACCCACCCGTACCCGGCTAACAAAGCTCGCCCGAACTCCTCCACCGGCATCTGCTCAAATTCGTCGAACCCATTAATTTCCGGCCGCCTCTCCAAATCCTCCCTCAATTTAATCAATGATGGGTCGGAAACAGTAGACTTAGCAGGGTTCAGTCCGGCGCGAGCATCGCCGTTGTTGCCAAGATTAAGTCCGTATTTAAGAGCGTTGGCGATGCCATTCTCCACTGACGGGCCGGCGGAGGACGATTGAGCGTTCCCGGTAGCAGAGTAGTAATTGGACGGCGCCCATTCGTTGGGGTTCGGAGGAATTATGCGAATTTGCTGACGCAGTGATGGCAGGCCTTCGGAGGCGTCGAATACCGTTATGAATTCCGAGGATTCTTCTTCGATATTCCCGCCGGAGGCCGATGACGGAGGCGTTTTCGCGGTTGGTTGGGGCTTAGAGATGGAGAAAGAAACCTTTTCCATGGTTGCTGATATTTTATTTTACTGTATTTTCTATTTTCTTAGAGTCTCTTTACTTCTGTGTTTGGATTTGGAAGTCCTTTTTTTATAGACTATCGTATCGTATCGTATCCGAGTTAATTGGAGATTTGGAATTGTATTCCGGGTTAATTGCACTTACGTCCTTTCCAATTTGTACCCCCTCAACTTAACATATTTATATAAAGGGACTGATTTTATATTCGGAATCAGTCCTTTTATTTTCTATTTTATTGGATGTATCCCTTAAAATGAAAATATCTTATATATCTTTAATATATTAAAGGAGAGTTTTCAATCGGACACAAGCGCGATATTAGATAGACTAATCTATGCGGCGCAAAATTAGATACCCAAGTCCACATGTCACAAGCACATCACTCCATCATTTAATGGTAAATTTTTAATATAAAAAATTGTAAATAAAGCTAAATTAACTAATAATTACAAAAGTTAAAAAAGTAAACTTCTTAATTTTTTAGTAATATTTATGTTGATTCCCCCAACCCACACACACACTGATGAAGAGAAACCCAATTGATAAAACAAAACAATTTAGTTAACTTCATAAAACCTAAAAAAAAAAAACTTAGCACAACTTAATTAAATTTATAAATAATTTAGTCGGGTGCTTTAGCTTAGTCATCAATCAAAACCTAACCAAAAATAAGTTTAGTAAACTTATTGGCTTTAAATTTATTAGATTTTGATAACTCAGCCTAATCTAAAAAAGTAAATAAGTTTACTTATTTAGATAAATAAACTTATTAGTTTAGCACAACTTATTAGTTTGATATGATTGGATTGTTTAGTTCATTAGCTTGGTGCACTACTTTAAATATGACTGACCCCAAGATTGGTTGCTAGATTATTTGTGTTTGTTCCTAAATTTAATATAATTAAATATTAGTATCAAATACAATAAGTTTTAAAAAAAATTTATAGAAATAAATGTTAATTAATTTATGCCCTATAACATTAACACGTCTAGATAAAAAAAATAAAATAATAAGATGTATATTTTTGGTTGTCCAGAATCAAAATTGTTTTATCCCAATAAAGAGAATTAATACGGGTGCTAAATAGTTTTTTTTTGCCTTTATTTTTTTGAAAATGCATCTTGGAATTTAAGTGTGATATGTGATTTTCATCGGTGAATCTTCTAACCTTAATGAAGATTGGTAATTTTGCAACAAGACAATATATATATATATATATATATCTTTACATGATTAATTATATATATATTTTTTATTTTTCATATAACATAATGGTAGAAAAAGTTAATGTTATGATGATAAAAAAATGTAGAATTAATAAGGAGAAAGTTTTCCGAAATGAGAAAAAATAATAAAGGTTTATGTGAGAGACAAACAGTAGAAAAAAAAGCATATTGAGAATTTCAAAACAATTATATGGAAAAAAAATTATGTAGAGAATAAGAAAAAATGAAAAAAGAAACTGGAGATAACAGTGGAAAAGGAAAAAGTTATTACAAATTTGTCAAGAAATGAAGTTTAAAAGAGGGGTCGTTAAATTTAATAAGAAAAAAGTGAAGACTTTACAACCAAGAAAAAAAATAAACACTATATTATATGAGAAATATATAAACAAACCTCCAAAGAAAGGTTTCAATAGATATATAGAAAGATGAAAAATAAAGATAAGTTCATGAAAAAAAATAATGAGAAACTTTCTACTAGAGGAAAAGTTTAAAACATATCACACGGATAGAAATATTTAGAGAGATCATTACAAAAAATAAGAGAATACTTTTTAAAAGACGTAAAACCATATATTAATGAAACAAAAAGATGGACATTAAGTTACATGAGATGATTTCCAATAGTGAAATTTATTCCAAATGTATTTAAAATAACAAAATACATGACGTTAAATATAACACAATTGTAATTTATATCATTAATAATATTTTTTTTATGAATATCACTCCATTAGAAATGTTATATAATTGTTAAATTATTCAACTCATATATATTTGGAAAACCCGCACAACGAGTGGGGTAAACACTAGCTTCATTTTTTTTTTTGTGGTTATAAATGTTTGACTTCTTATTAAAAAAACATATTTAGAAATTGAAACAATTATATGGGGGGAAAAACTTATGTAGAGAGTAAGAAAAATGTGAAAAAAATGGAGATAATAGTGAAAAATGAAATAGTTATTACAAAATTATCAACAAATTAAGCTTTAAAGAGACGTAATTATATTTAGAAAGAAAAAGCGAAGACTATATAACCAAAAAAAACTAAAAAATATATTACATGAAAATATATAAACAAACTGTTAATGAAAGGTTGCAAAAGGTATATAGAGAGATAGAAAATAGATAAGTTTATTGAAATATGTAATGGAAAACTTTTCTGTTAGAGGAATAATTTAAAAGATGTGACACGGGTAGAAATATTTATGTAAGAGTATATTTTTTAAAGATATAAAGCCATAAATCAACAAAACACAAAAGATGGATAATAAGGTATTAGATGATTGCGAATATTAAAATTATTCCAAATATATTTAAAACAACAAAATATATTGACATTAAAAATTACACAATTTCAATTTTTATCATTAATATTATTTTTTAATATGTATCACTCAGTTAGAAATGTCATATAATCAATAGATCATTAAACTCATTTATATCTTGAACAACCCGCACAACGTGCGGGGTAAACACTAGTTATTTATATAAAAGGATACATCCAATTCACATTATCCTTACATTCATCAGCCATTTTAAAGAGTGTTTAAACTTATTAAAGTAATTTTTTTCCTTATTATTTTTGGTGTTTGTTGGAAAGAGATAATATGAAAATTCATATAATATTTATAGTACTTAATTAAAGCAACATACAAGCTGGTGATGTATCAACACCACAATAAAAATTTTTCCGCCAAATGTCATTTTTAATACAAAATCATTTTTAACATGTGACACTTAAACTATTCAGAAAAAAAGATGGAATAAATAAATAAATAAATTCCTTAATTATAGCTATATACTATTTCCTTAATTATAGCTATATGCTAATCCCTTAAAAGTTAAAACAACAATATTAAGTTGATAAAATCAAATGTCAAATAATTCCCTTAAATAATTTATTTAGATAACTCAAATGTCAAATAAATAATCTGATTACGAAGGTATGTATCCCTCCCTTTTAGCAACGATAACGCGCACTGATTCAAATCTCTACAAATTAGCCAGAGTCATCGTAATCAGTTGGAAACAAATGCAATAAAATCATCCACATATGACCCAAAGCAATTCATGTAATCATTAATCAAAAATCAAACTTAACCCATTCATAGCCATATATCATCATAACGAAAAAAAATCAATAATCAAGAATCCGGGAAGAAGTTATGATTGCAGAGGAAGTATCGGAAGAAAAAATCATAGCTACAGGCCCTTATATTTGGTTTGAAAATAAAGATTAATGAAATGCTGGATTGTGCATATACAGGAAGAGGAAGAAAATTTTAACTAACTTTTGATTCGTAAGAATATAAAATTTATTATGAGCAATGCTTACTGTGTTAAAGACTTGATTTTTAGCCCACTCAAAAATTTTTCACTTCCCGATACTTCGTTAGTAATTAATTTGGCCACTCCAATTACTCTGTTTTTGATTTCCTTTGGATTTGCAGTGATTAATGTATATATCTTATTAATATTAACCAAAAGGTGCAAAATCATTTGAAATTCACTTGAACATGATAAAGTGTTAGCCAGTCGAGAAATCCCCAGGTTGAGACACTACATTTTTTGCATAATGAGGTGTTTTTCCGAGATACTAAAATTTAATATTAACCTCGAAGTGAATGTTTAAAATTATTTGAGCTATACTCTTCATTCGGTTGTTTTCCCTTTTTCAAATACATACTAATTTTTTTAATCTGGACTCCTGCAACGGTTCGAATTAAGACACTAAAAATATATGATTATGTTAAAGTAGTTCCCGGACAACGCTCCTTTACTTTGTTCCTATTTGATATTATTATATTGTATAAAAGGATAATTATTCTTTTCCAAAAAATTTGTTTTCTTTATTTAACTAACTTAAAGCACAAATCGCCACCCGGACATTCTCCCGGGGCAAGCATCTAGTTAAACTTATGTGCTAACGAAACTTTTAAGGACCGGCTTAGGCAATGATACTTCTAATACAAACTGAATTTATAATCATAATTATTGAGATGAAAACACCGAAAAAATAAAAAAAAATCATTTTTACTAATCAATTAAATTATTGGTAAATTTCTATGAATTGAAAATGTTGAAGCAATAAGGTGCTTCTAGAATATTATTTCCATTAAGTTAAAAAAATGGTTGACTTGTTAGAGTTTTAATTTTTTATAATTTGCACTAAAAATAAAAATTTAAGGCGAACTTGTTCCGGACTATCTTTTAGAGATTATTTTGTGCAGTTAATTTTTACCATTTCTGTATTGTACTAGTAAAACTACTTCTTCTTCTTCCTCTTTTTTTAATTTTTTTTTTAATAATAATAATCTAGTAAAATTTCCAAAATATTAGTGTGAGTGAAAATGAGTTCAGAATCTATTAAAAGAAGAAAAAGAGTTTCAGTCTGAAAGCCGCCGTACATCAGTCCTATAGTATAGTTTACCTTTTCTTCTCTGTTTTTGCGGTAAGTCTCGCCACCGTCGCACGGCCTCCTCTCCAGTGATGAGTAGGGTTTTAGATAGCCAGCTGAATTAGCGGTTTGCTCCAACCAAGTACATTTCCGGGTATGCTTTACTTTTTTCTTAAGGTTTTTGACGGTGCCTAATTTATGAAAGCCAGTAACATCGACATTAGCTTTTTAGTTTTCTGCGTGGATTGTTCGTTCTTGAGTTTTGGGTTTAGCTTCTTTGTGGATTACCATAGTTTTGGTAGAGAGGAGCCATGATTTACTTGGATGTTCGGGATTTTTCAATTTGTGCTTGTGGGTTCGTCCTTAATCACTTCAATGTGCTTCTGCAATTGAAGTCTTTCTATGGTGTTCATGATCCTGTTTTTTTAAAATTTTTTAATTCGCCTGAGTTATCTGTTCTGCGGTGATGGCTATTGAGCTTACAACACATGTTATGCATGATTTGATGCGTTGCTAAGTGATGAGCTGATTAATTGCGTGCTGCGTTTGTAACTGCAACTGCTAGGTATTAACTGGATATAGGAAGTACTAAATCAGCCTTGGATTTTCGATCCAGAGTATGGGTTATGGTCTGAAAAGTTACGGTTTTCTTATATGTATATTTGTGATTTTCATTCATGTATTGGGTTGTGGATTGTGGTCTGTTTCTCATTTTGTGGTGGGATTTGATTGCGATTGGTTCCAGTGATTTACAAGTTGAATGCAATAATCTCTAGTTTTTTGGTTATCTTTGTTGCTATTTTTCTACTTGTACAAATTCGTACAAGATGGCAAGGGATGCATTAGTTTCACATGATTTGGTTCATTTATTGCTATCTATCTGACTGACGCTGCAAAATGTTGGTGGAGTAAATTAATAATAGATTTATCACTTTCTTAGGTTGAAATTGTACTCACAAGGCTTGGGTTTGGCAACTCTTGCTCCAGTACTTTGTGTTTGCTTCTAGCTAGATCACCCTAGCATCTATTTCAACCCTAAATTCATGGCAGACGAGAACGTCTACCCAGAAAATCAAGCACTGTCTGATCCAGAACCAGAATCTATGCGCCTGAAAACTTTAGCAGAACAAACATATGCCGCCGGGAATCTAAAATCAGCTTTGAAGTTTGCCACGCAGGCCCATCATCTATATCCTTCGCTCGAAGGAATAGAGGAGTTGCTAATGGCCTTTGAAATTCTCTGCACAGCCATTGTTCCTATTTCCTTGACGCCAATTGATGAAACCAATCCCTCTGCCCCTGCTCAGCCTGACTACTACAAAATTCTCCAAGTTGAGAGGTTTGCCCATATAAACACAATTAAGAAACAATACAGGAAACTTGCTTTAGCGCTCCACCCAGATAAGCATCCTTTTGTAGCTTGTGAGGAAGCATTCAAGTATGTTGCAGAAGGTTTTGGGGTCTTGTCTGATAGGATTAAAAGGAAGGAATATGATATGAAGCTTAGAGTAGCTATGCAAAATGAGGCTGAGGCTGCCGCTAGTGGCGGGATTGAGGTTGAGGAAATGCATACGTTTTGGACATCTTGTTCCACTTGCAGGTTGTTGCATAAGTTTGAGAGGAAGTATTTGGGGCATATCTTGGTTTGCCCTAGTTGTAAAAAGAGCTTTGAAGCTGTTGAAGCAGCGGAGGAAGATGCTGGAACAGATAGACTTCGAGCGGAGAAAGAAGCAGTTGGGGTAAATGTGAGGAGTAGTGAGAGAATTAGGACAAGAAGTGTCAAGATGAGTAGTGTCGGGGAGATTTTGGAGAGGTCAACAAGGAACAATGTGCAAGTTAAAGGTGGGAGTAAGAGTGATTCAGAAAATTTTGGAAAGAAAAGGGGTCTTGGGATTGGGGACAGTGATGGTGGTTCAGGTGTGAATGAGGGCCCGAAAGTTAAAAGTGTGGGGTTGACATTGAAGAATGTGGCAAAAGAAAGAAAAGAGGGGCATAGTGGTGATGATCAGGTTGAGGTTTTGAGTTCAAAGCGTGGAAGAGAGGAAGAGAGACTTGGAGGGGTTCAGGTGGTTAAGGGGACTAGGGCAGGGACAAAGAGGCTAAAGGTTTTGGAGGAAGAGATGATGACTTTGGCAGAGATGCAATTGTTAGCGAAGAAGAAATGCAGTGAAGCAAAACTGAAGGGGGAAAAACAGGGAAACAACAAGAAAGATCTAGAGAAGGACAGTGAAGAGAGGAAGGAGATGGAGAAAGAGAAGCAGCAAGATGAAGAGGAGCAGGTGAATGGAGAGGATATAGAAAAAGAGAACATGGAAGAGGAGGGAGATGATGGAATTGGTAAGGAGACGGAGGTACTAGAAGAGACAGGGAAGGATGCAGAAAAGGAATGTCCCGAAATAAGTAAAAAGAACAGGATCCCTAGGGAAAAGAAGGTTGTGGCAACATATAGGAGGGAGAGAAAAAGAGTTGCAAATGATGAAACTATGGCTTTAGCAGAGATGCAATTGTTAGCGAAGAAGAAATGCAGTGAAGCAAAACTGAAGGGGGAAAAACAGGGAAACAACAAGAAAGATCTAGAAAAGGGCAGTGAAGAGAGGAAGGAGATGGAGAAAGAGAAGCAGGAAGATGAAGAGGAGCAGGTGAATAGAGAGGATAAAGGAAAAGAGGACATGGAAGAGGAGGAAGATGATGGAACTGATAAAGAGACCGAGATGCATGAGGAAGAACAGACGAAGAATAATGGAGAAAAGGAATATCGAGAAAAGAGTAAAAGGAACAGGAATACTAGGGAAAGGAAGGTTGTGGCAACAGGTAGGAGGGAGAGGAAAAGAGTTGCAGATGACGAAACTATGGCTTTGGCAGAAATGCAATTGTTAGCGAAGAAGAAATTCAGTAAAGCAAAATTGAAGGGGAAAAAACTGGGAAACAACAAGAAAGATCTAGAGAAGGACAGCGAAGAGGGAAAGGAGATGGAGAAAGAGAGGGAGCAAGATGAGGAGCAGGTGAACGGAGAAGATAGAGAAAATGAGAACGTGGAAGAAGAGGAAGAGGATGAAACTGATAAGGAGATGGAGATGCAAGAGGAAGAAGGGATGGGGAAGAATGGAGAAAAGGAATGTCCAGAAATAAGTAAAAAGAACAGGAATACTCGGGAAAGGAATGTTGTGATTACAGATTGGAGGGAGAGAAGTGTTGCAGATGATGACACTATGGGAATGCTACCAAAAAAGACATCAAGAATTAGTGGGCTAAGATCTAGGCATCGTACATTGCAGAATCCGGATTTTCATGAATTTGATAAAGAGAGAGCAGGGAGGAGCTTCAAGACAGGTCAAGTATGGGCAATTTATGACAGTGAGGATGGAATGCCTAGGCATTATGGTTTGATTGATGAAGTTGTTTCAGTGGATCCTTTTGAAGTGAAATTGAGTTGGTTGGAATATCAAAGCAATGGCGATCACCAGCTACTGAGTTTGGAAAAAATGGGATTCTATGCTTCCTGTGGGAGATTTAAGGTTTCAGAGAAAGTTACAGTTAAATCTTTGAAAATGTTTTCCCACCTTGCTGATAGTGAAAGAGCTGCAAGAGAGGTTTATAGAATATATCCAAAAAAGGGCTCTGTTTGGGCAATTTATAACAACCATGCTTTGCTTTCTGAAAGGAACAACCAGACCATGACTGATAAGCACTACGACATAGTTTTGTTTTTGACTAATTACAGTGACATACATGGCTCGAGTATGGCATTTCTTGAGAGGGTTGAGGGATTTAAGGCAGTTTTCAAGCGGAGAGAAATTGGGCCTCGTGCAATTAAATTTCTTGAAAGAGACAATTTTAAGCTCTTGTCGCATCAGATACCTGCAAGGAAGCTCTCTGGAGAGGATGTTCCTGGGCTTCCTAAATGCTGTTGGGAGCTTGATCCTGCTTCACTACCTCAGGACTCCCCTAATATTTGTCAAAAAGGTCCAATTGCTTCGTAGGAAGATTGTTTAGTTGTACAGCATGATCCACTGTAAAAATCTACGACAACAGTTTTGTTTTTTTTCTTGTGAATCAATTCCCTCTAAAATTATTTACTGGAAGAATTATCTACTAGAATCTTGCTAAGCATTTGGTTTCTAAATGTCTAATGTTGTCTTAATTCACTTGACAACCAAATTGGTTCATGTTCTTTGTTCTTCCTAAGTCACTTCAGAACATTAACCACATTGGATAATGTTGACAACCAAATCTGGCTACAAGATGAAAACCTTCATTGTTCAGAGATGGTAATGTAAATTTGATCGCAAAAGCTTTTTTGTGCTTATTGTCATTTGATTGTCAGTTATTAGTTTGTTCATATTGCTCCAAAATAATCTCATTAGTTTTAGGCGCAGAATATCTTTTATGCAGAGTCTACCAAAATAAGAGCACAAGGTTTGAAGACACATGCAACTATGAATATGAGAAGGCTAACCTTGACGAACTGATTCTGAGTTTGTTGTTACATACATTGATTCTTTAGATTTTTGTTTGTTGCGTGTATAAAGTGAAATTGCATAATGCATTGAGGAAGATAATGTATGTAAGCTCATATTTCTATTCTGAACAAGGCCAGTAAGTTATGATGCTGGAACAGAATCCAGAAATGATGATCTTGACTTGGCTGGCCTTTTGTATTACATTATTTGTTGGACTCTTTCTCCATGGCGGTTTCCTCGATACACTTGTGGGTACGTGAATTGACTTTAATTTGTTTGCGAGTCTTGCAGGGTTCATTGTCTAGCTGTTTATATGTCTCTGTTTGCACTGATCTCTCTGTGACTCTCGTCCTAACGTGCTCCAGTTTTATAATTTTCTTCTTGTCATCGCTGTTAGATTTCCGTAATCATCAGGAGTTACGAGAATGATCCTTAAGCATATTCTCTGTTTTTATCAAAATGGATTGATTTAACGGTTTTTTTTGGTTTTGTATTTTGGCCTCTCTCTCTCTCTCTCTCTCTCTCTCAACCCTTCAAAATGAATGATCCTTTAAAGGGTTATGTTACCTGGACTTGCAGTTCCTTTTTAAACAGATTCTCAGCTTGGCTGGTTTTTGACAGTATGTTCTTTGCTAGACTTAGATTTTCGTAGTTAGACTTACATTTTGGCATAGCCGTTTACTGTATGCAGTTGTGGATGCGAATATTATTGAGTTTGATTTGTCGCCAATATTGCAATTTGTCAAGTTTGTCTAGTCATCTTTTAGATGGCATGCCTGTACACCTGAAATTATGTGTATGGACTTCGACAACATGCCACTAGAATGAAGCAATATCTATGGGCTTTATGGTGCGCACCAATCATCCTGAGGAAGTGGCAGGGTTATTCTTCTCATTAGTGGTAGCAAATGGAACAGAATTCATTCTGTTGCTTGTAGGAGTCATGAATTCAATGGAATCACTGGGGGTGAACTTTCATGGTTCTTGAACTATGTTTGATAGTACATTCTGGGAAAGCAACAAACTTTGAACTATGCATCTCGTGGTAAACTTATGTAAGTCTTTACTCTTTTTTGCTCAGGAGGTAAGAAAACAACAAAAAACGTTTGCTAGGATGGGGCTTCCTAAGTGCTGTCCCAATTCGTAGTGCCTCTGTTGCATAGTGATAGCTGTGAAGTTGATTTTAAATTCTGTTGAGACCGAATTCTTGTATAAAAATATTAGTATCTGCAGCTTCTCTTGGACCTACAATGCCGAAACCTATATATCTAGCCATGTTATTATCTTCCCTTCGCATGTATGATCTTAGAGGGTTATTTAATGAATGATCTGCTGTCTTTTCTTTTGTGAAATTATTGTGTTTTAACTTTGACATTTGACCATGAGTCCTGTATTTTGTAGCTTACTTACAGTACATCCTTGGTTTTAAGGAGCAGTCTTTTAATGTGTTTTGCTGCTTCGAGTGTCAATTTGTTAGCTTGCTCTCCTTTTGGTTGCTGTCAGATGAATAAGAAGTTGGAGCCGCTAAATGCTTCAAAGAGAACCAAGTTCTAGCCTCGAAGGTAAGCTTGGAAGACTGAGCAATGGTTAAGTGCTTGTAACGGCATTACATGTTCCCTTACTCGGCTCGCTGATATGTGGACTGTGGATTGATCTGGGAACATAGTTCACAGTTGCGGTCCATGGAGTTTAGTGGGAGAATTCATTCATTTGCACAAGAAAGATGTTTATGAATGCAGCTGTCTTCTGTTGAGTTTTGTAAACTCGAAACTGCCAATGTGGAAGACGTCCAAACTCCAAACTGCCATGGAGCTTCATTGACGCGTTGTTTCTAAATTGAAGTTTCATTAGTGTGTCGAAAAGGCTTCCATTGTATAAGAAACTTGCAAATAATGTTGAAGATTAATTGTTAGGAATGCTCCCCTTCAATAACCAAAAGTGTACGGCTTTTTTCAATCAAGAGAATGTTCAGCTTATTTTTCCGTCATTCTTTAATTTTCTCGAGTAAATTCTAAGTGGACAATTATATATTCTGGTTTTTTAATACGAAACACAATAATGTGAGATTATTTTATTATTGTTTTTTTTAATAATTCACCAACATTTCTTTTTCCTTTTTTTTTCTTTTTTGACAAACACAAAGAATTCTTAAAACATACTCCCTCTGTCCCATAATTATTGTTCAGTTTGAGATTTCACTTCTAGCAATATGAACTAGAAATGAAAATCCAAACTGGACAAGAATTATGGGACGGAGGGAGTACTACTAAAAAATCAAACAATTATAAATTTACTAATTTATTTATTTAAACAAATACAGTACTTCCAATAAATTTGAATTTGAGACGCCTATTTCAGAAATAACTCCGACGACATACTCATCGACATCGGCCTCGAAAATGAGTAATAGTTCGCTGACTTCCTCACCGGCGAGGTCATCCATATCGACGACAGCCATACCGGCCACCGCAGCTTCATCTCTCGCCGGCGTTGATGACTATCTTTTCCCCGCCGATTTTATCTCCGTTCTGGACCGTAAGGACGAGGCACTTGCCGGTATGTCTTCCATGATAACGCTCGTGTGTGGTAACCTTCTGCTGTTGCTTTTCTTGCTTCCTATTCGAATGAATGGTTAGAATCGAATTTATCAGGTAGATAGATCCTTTGAATGAATTAGATTAGGAATGCTTCGGCTGTTGTTCTGAATTTCAGTTGTTCGGAAATTTTGTTCGTAATGTTGGGAATTAAACTTGAAAGTTGCTATTATGGGCTCCTTTTGCATGAGTCGAAATAGTTGGGAAGAACTCTATGGCCTACCATTTTGCTGGAATTCTTCTGTTTTCGTATGTTGCTTTCTTTCTTGCGTGTAGGTTTAGGCTTTCTTCTAAGGTTTGACAAATCTTTTTAGTTTGCATTGTTGAGTGTATGAAGCTCAACCTTTTCTTTATGTGTTCTGGTTTTTCCAAATGTAGAATTTTGGTAAATTTGCTTATCATGGATGATCATCTTCTGCTCATCTAGAGCTTTTGCAAATTAAATTGAGTTGTTTATTTTACGGCTGAAAGATGGAAGATTTCTCATTTGGAAGTTATCTGAGATTTGTGAACTGCAATGATATTTCAGTCTGCAAACAAACACTTTTGATTGGTTTTCTAAACCTTTATTGGTTCTTTATTCATATAGTTCTAAAATCAGAGCTGATGGCATCCCTAAACAAAGTGGTTAAATCCCTCGACGAGGATAGCTGGATGTTTGAGGGTCCTCGATCACGCATTCATCTTATTTCTAAACCAGGTAGGTTCATCCATTCAACATGCTCCATGGTGTTTTCCATTTCTGATTGCAAGATGCATATGAGAGAAATGGTGGGGTGTTCTCACTCGTGTTGAAATGCATAGTAGTATGTAATTTCAGTATCAGATTGATCTCATTCTTTGAGGTGATATATCTAGATATTCTTGAGACTGCAGATTTCAACTATACTAATAGCTGGTAGTGGTACTATCACCTTGAAAGTTTCTTTTTCAAGTTAGTAATCTGACATCTCGCTTAAGTTTTCATCAAGTGATAATGAATTCATGTACTAATGCATATTTTGTACTTGTGTATAATTAGTTAGTGCTTTTTGCCTCTCTTTTTTTTTGACATTTTTGCTTCCCGACCAGCTTCATAGGCTTTTTTTGCAAGGGTATCTATTCATAACTTGCTTTTAAGAGCTTTCTGGTATTGTTTAATGGGTTAACGGCATCAGTTATACTACTTTTGCCCTATTTTTGGTAAGCCTTCTTTTGTGGCAGAAGGATTTTCTGAAGTTTAATTGTATGCACAAAGATCCTTTAAAGAAAGGTTTGAAAGGGTTTTTCTGAACCTTCTCTGTTCCTTATGCCGAGTGATTCATTGAACATAAGTTGCACCAGTTTTTTGTCTACTCTAAAGAGCAATTTTGGAGATCTCAATTTACTGATATACGTGACTTACTTTGTGACTTCTTAGTTGTTTGATTGTCTTATTTGCGATGTCCTGAATCATCTAAAGCACAATGGCTATAAGAATATTTGTGATTGCATATATTATCAAATGAACAATACAACGGCGTGTTGATATTTCTGATTTGTATTTCCAAAATGTAGACCACCATGCTTTTACGAGATGTCTTAGTTTATGTCTGTGTAATAATGCCAAGTCTTACATGTGAAAACATTAACCGAAAATGCTACTTTACGCCTCCTCAAAGGAGCAGGAGTCACTTAAAATGTAAGCCTCTTTTCTAGTTCATCAAGTGTAACTGGTTGTGGGGGTGATTTGAGTTAGGCTGGCAAGTTTAGGATGAGCTTGGGATAAATAGCTACTTAGGTGCAAAGCAGGTAGCAATTGGAGACATATTGGGAAAAAACGAGTCCGTCCTTCAGAAAACCTTGTACCTCCAAAATTCCTTAAGAATACTAGTTGTCAAAACTAGTTTCCTTAGTTCCATGCTTCACTTTCTCCATTCTCTCACAATTCCTTTGGTTGTGATGATGATTTGAGTTACACTTAAAAACTTGGAATATAATGGGTAGAAATAGTTAAATTCGGTGCAAAGAAGCTAGCATTAAAAACATATTGGGAGCAAATCACGTTGTCCTTCATTGTACCTCTGAAATTATGTAAGAATGCTGGTTTTGGCATCAAAGGTTCATTTAATTCCTTTCTTTGTCTTTTCATTCTCTCACGAATTATTCCTATGAGCTTGACTTGGATTTATATGGTCTAGGGTTCTGGAAAGAATCTTGTGATTGTCAAATGTCTTTTGGCTTCAAAATCCCATCCTGCCTCTAGTCTGTTAATTTTCACGAAAATTGTCAATGAACCTGTGGTTGGTGACTAATTAGTGTGTTTCTTACAGGTGGTCTTCTTCAAAAGAAGCATGTTGGAAATTCAAGGCATCATCACTTGCCCCCATCAAAATGATGTAGGCATCTTCATTACCAAATGGAGCTGGAAAATTGTAGTAACGATTCAAGTACCTTGAACCAATCATGCCACTACTTATTTGAGAGTTAAAGCTAGGGGTTCTTCGATGTTGGACCAGAATGACAGGATCTGTTCTATGGTGAAATGTTGTTACTGAAAATGACTGCTTAACATTTCTGTACATCTGTGACAGTGAAAGCTATTTTACTGCTGTCATCAGTTTAGTGTATCTAATGACAATTATGGACTTGTAATGCATTCAAATCTGGCAACAGTGGCCTTGCTGACATTGTTGCTTGTAGATGTTTGAAAATGATCTTGGCAAATAATATTAAGATCCTAGGTACACGCGATCATTTAATCCGTAATTTTTTTTATTAAGATCCTATCTACACGCGCATCATTTAATCCGTAATTTTTTTTATTTTTTTTAAAAAATAAAATCCCGCAAAATCCGAATTTTAATTACGTGATCACAAAACATTATAAGTGAAGAATTTAAATTTTGAAATTGTAGTTACCATTTGTAATATCGTAATGATCATTCATCTTTCAATTATTACTTGCCTTTATTTTTTTCACCATAACTGAGTGATTTTATATCATTTGGAATACCAATATTTATCCTGAAAAATTATAAACGATGGAAGGTTTAGATTTAAACGTCAGAATTGACAGTAATTCCAGTGAGAAGGGTTGTGATTATGATGGCGAAGGTGTTGCGAATGTTGTTGAAGATGTTGCAGACTGGGAAGGATTGTTGAATTCGTATAATGATCTTGAAGAAATCAATGATGTTGATCATGTTGCTTCATCAATTGTTCTTAGTGATGATAGATCTTTGGTTGAATTCGATGATCGTGTTTCTGAATCTATGAAAGGCAATTTGATCATATTTAGTATGTGTTATTTTTTCTAAATGATTGTTGCTGCGATTGGTAATGCATTTTTATCATTAACTGATGAATATTTATAGAGTACCAGTAACGTATTGTTTTTAATGAATAGAGTAATGCAGGTTATGATTTTATTGATGAATGTCGTGAAGTCAATGATGTGTAATATTTTGTATCTAATGAATATTTATCCATACATGATGAATAATTGTAGTTTATGAGTAGAGTAACGTGAAGTTCTGATGAATAGAGTTTTACTGCTGTGTCCAACGGATTTTACACTGCAGGTTATGTTTTATTTGATGAATATCAAGAAGTTACTGATGAGTAATGTGTGGTTTTTAATGAATTTTTTTTGGCAGTGTTTATTGGTTAATGAGTTTACGTTTAGTAATGAATTTTAGAACGGTTAGTAATGAATTTTCAATTTTTTTATGATGAATAGATAATGTGCCAATTGGACGTTGTTATAAATCATTGGAAAAAGTTTTTTCTGATTATAATTCTTGTGCAAAACACATTGGGTTTTCAGCAAAAAAGTTCAAAGACAGAAAAAGGCCCAATGATGAAGTATATTGGAAACAGTTTGCATGTAGTAAAAAAGGGGCCAAAACTTCAAAGGGTAAGTATTATATGAAGACGGACGCGTGTTGGTTGTTTAGCGATGGTTGTGTTGAGGATTGATGATGAAAGTATATAGAAGGTGGTTCAGCATGTGGTTGACCATTGTCATGATCTTGTTCCTTTAAGACAGAGGCATTTAATTCGGTCTAAAAGAGAAGTTCCAGCGAATGATGTGATGCTTTTGTCTAGTTTGAAGGATAGTGGTATTAATCTTATCAAGGGTTTCAATTTTTTGAGGAATTTAGCACGAGGTGTTCCTAACCTAGGCTACACCATAACAGATGCTAAGAATCAGGTTGCAGCTCATGAACGTACTAAATGGGAATGTGGTGATGAACGTACTAAATGGGAATGTGGTGATGCAAACAATCTGTTGGATTTGTCGTTTTGGCTAAAAGCTAGAGCAAAAATTGCCAAGTTAGATCAGCGAATTTACGCCTTCAGCTGTCCTGGTTGTTCAAAAACCTGTGGCCTCTCTGAACCAGGTGAATTCACTTGTTTCTACTGCAACATGAATTACCAAACCCAAATTCAGTGTAAGTTAACAGAATTTTTTGTAACTTTTAAGAGGCTTTTGATATTCTCTAAATTAGACAATAGATTTGAATTGGCTTCGATGCTTCTTTTCCTACAAAAAAGGAATTCGCGCAGACTCATCGGTGCCGGAAATGAGTAATAATAGTTCCTGACGTCGTCGCCGGCTAGGTCATCCATATCGTCCATTGCCATACCCACCGCCACGGCTTCATCTCTGGCCGGCGTTGATGACTATCATTTCCCCGCCGATCTTATCTTCGTTCAGGACCGGAAGGATGAGGCCCTTGCCGGTATGTCTTCCTCCATCTTAAAACTCCCGTATGTTGGACTGTATGTGTTTTTTATACTTCTATCTTGCTTTTGTTTGGTATTCAAGATGAATGATTAGAAATATTTTCCCAGGTGGATTCTATGAATGAATTAGACTAGGATTCCGTCAGATTTTTGTTCTGAATTTTAGTTATTGAGGAAATTTTTGTTAGCTATGGTGGGCTATGTTAGCTATTGAGGAAATTTTTGTTAGCTATGAATTAGACTTCAATGTTGCTATTGTGGGCAGTCATATATGTCAACTGCGTGGGGAAGAACTCTGGCCGTTTTGGGAATTTTTCTGTTTTTTCATGTTAAGGAAAATAGACTTTATCTTGACCTGTGTATTGCTTTCTTCCCGGCGTATTGATTTAGAATTTCTTTCTAAGGTTTGACAAATCTGTTTAGTTTTCACTTCTTAGTAGATGAATACTGTATAAAACAGAAGTTCAACCTTTGTGTGGTGCTCTGGTGTTTCCAAATGTAGAATTTAGGTGAATTTGCTTATTGTGGACGATGTTCAGCTACACCTTTCAAATTATATTGACTTCTTATTCTATGGCGGAAGAGATTAAGAGCTCTTGTGTGGAAGTTGTCCGAGTTTTTTGAACTGTAATGAAATTCAGTGTGCAAAGAACACGAGTTTAATTGGTTTCCTTAACCTTGTTTTGGTTCTTTATTCATGTAGTTCTAAAATCAGAGCTGGTGGCAGCCCTAAACAAAGAGGTTAAGTCCCTGGACGAGCATGGATGGATGTTTGAGGGTCCCGGATCACGCATTCACCTTATTTCTAAGCCAGGTGGGTTCATCAATTCATCAGATGTCCTCTGGTGTTGCCCTATTTCTGATTGCAAGATGCATATGAATTTAATGGTGGGGTGTGCCACATTGTGTTGAACTATATGGTAATATGTCAGTGTAGTTACAGTTCTAGATTGATCAATCATTCTTTGAGGCGATATATCTGGATATGCTTAAGACCGCAGAGTACCATCTTCTGGCCGGAGCTACTATTTGATGTGTCACGTGCATAAGTTTTCACGATCCACATGCTTATTCGTACTACTAGCAAGTACGTTTTCCAAATTCATTTTAAGTGTGAAGTTTTTGCTTGCTGACCAGCTTCATTGGCTTTCTTTGAAAGGGTATCAATTCATAAGTTATCTTTTACGAGCATTTTCCTGTTGCAGATTGTTTTCTGAAATTAAATTACATGCACAAAGATCCTTTGAAGAAAGAATTGAATGGCTTCCTCTGACCTTTTCCATACTTTATGTCGAGTGATTAATAGAATGTAACTGCTTTTATCAGTCTTTAGTTAAGACCAATTTTCAAGTGCAATTTTGGAGTATTTATTAAGTTGCAGGCATATGCATTTTTTTCCCGTTGACTTCTTAAGTTGTTTGCTTGTCTTATTTGCTACTCAATCATCTGAAGGGCAGTGACTAAGAAACATGGGATGCTGCATCTATTGCCATCTTAATAATGCTACCATGTGTAGGTTGGTGTCTGTGTAATGTGCCAAGGCTTACATTTGAAAACATGCTACTTCACACCGCAAGGAGGAGTGTTTTAACATCTGTGCTTCTTTTTCTACTTCATGAAGTGCAACTGGTTGCTTTGGTGATTTAAGTTAGCCTGGTAACTTAAAATGTGCTTGGAAAAGGAGTTACTTAGATGCGAAGGGGCTAGCATTAGGGACATATTAAGAGTGAATCAGTTTGTCCATCAGGGAACCTTGTGCCTCTAAAATTGCTAAGAATACAGGTTGTCAGAATTAAGGCTCCTTTAATTCTATCTTCATCTTTTCTATTCTCTCGCCAACCATTTTTTAGGTATGTGTAATGATTTGAGTTATGGTGGAAACTTAAGATTGTAACCGGTGAAAATAGTTGAAACTCAGTGCAAACTGCAAAGCACTAATCACTATTCTCTTAATTCTGTCCAAGGGGATTTTTTGGTGCATCAGACACAAGCAAATCACTTGGGCTTTTAAAAATCATCCACACCTCTAAAATCCCCAAAGAATGCTGGTTCTGTAATTAGAGATTCATTTAATTCCGTTCTTCATCTTCTCTATTCTGTCACAAACTATTCCTATCAGCATGAGTTGGATTTATATGTTTGTGACTTGTGGTTGGGTCGGAATCTTGTAGTTGTCCTTTGGCTTCAAAATATCATCCTTGATCTACTCTGTTAACGTTCACTAAGTTTCTGTCATCGAATCTGTAGTGTGACTGATTTATGTTTGATTCAGGTGGTTTTCTTCAAAAGAAGCATCTTGGAAATTCAAGGCACCATCAATTGCCCCCGTCAAAATGATGCCCTTGTAGCCCATTAGAGCTGGACAATTCCAGTTAAGATTCTAGCACCATGAACTAGTCATGCCACTTATCGGAGAGTTTAAGTTGGACCATGATGACATCTGTTCTGTGGTGAAATTCTCTCCGGCAATTATTCAGGTCACTTGTCATCATACTTGTACATCCGTGACAGTGGAAGTTACTATTTTGTAGCAGCCATCAGTTTAGTGTGCCTAATGAGATGTGATAAGTAAGGAATTGTATACATTCTAACCTGGATACAAATGCTTAGTTCTTCATGGGAAACTATCGAAAGTTGGAACTTGGAATTTCATCTTGATGGTAATGTGCATTTGTCATCAGCGATGCTTTTAGTAATTTAAAAATTATCTTTGCTGTCGATGTGTCAAATGGAAAATTCCATGGATTGAAGAAGTTAGGGAATGTCTCTATGTCTTTCATTTACTCTGATCTTTTCTCGAACCAGCACGGTAAGCAGTTCAAATCATGCTTTAACAGTTTCTTAGATTTGAAAGAAGGCGAAAACTTTGGACACAGACGTTTCAGATATCGGAAAGATGATTGAAGTTGTTTAATTGTATAAATTTGTGCTACAGCTACTGTTTTGCTACAACTACATGACTGAAGCATAATAAAATAGATGTTCTGCTGCACTTTCTTCAAATTTGGTCACAAAAGGATGAACAAGTAGTTCCTCCACTGTCCCTCTTATTTTCCAATCCCTCTGTAAGCACCTCATCACGAAGCTCTGTATTTCAGCTGATGCAGTTTCTGGCATCTCTCTCTTTTCTTCAAAACAAATAGCACACATTAGATTGATCCAATCCGGCTTCTCTTCAGGCTTAATCAATGGAAAATGACCAACGAAGCATTCCATTACTACCACCCCAAGGGACCATACATCTCCAGCAAAACCATCAGAATGCACCCCATCCCACCTATCTGGATCAATTCTTTCTGGACTCATGTACGCGCAGGTGCCCATGTACGATGGACATTGCTCTTTATCGACTCCTGCAATGCATCGGCTCACGCCAAAATCTGCAATCTTCACCTCTCCTTTCCGATTTATCAACAAATTGGACGGCTTTATGTCGCTGTGGACTATTTGCATAGAATGCAGATAGTGTAGTCCTTCCAAAACACTCCTCGCAATGCCAGAAATGGCATTCTCGGACAACATAGGATGCTTCCGCAGGAGGTCATGCAGTGACCCTCCTTCCATGTACTCCAAAAGAAAGCAGATATCCTCGATTCCATCCGCGCCTGAGAACCCGTTTTCAAACACCCCGTGGCACATTACAACAAAACCTGAATCCACTCTTCTGAGGATCTCCACCTCGCTGAACGCCCGCTGTTGTACCATCTCCGGTTCCTCCATAAACCTAAGGACTTTCAGAGCATATATCACATTCGTCGGCCTGTGACATACTTTATATACCGTCCCGCCATTACCATGTCCTAAAACTGCAAGTTTCTCAAAGTTGGCTAGGTTGTCAATGCCTGGAGAACTTGAGCTCGACGAGGACGATGGCGGTGATGATTGTAACCTCTGCCAGGAATTAGCTTGCGATATGGAGGGTACAGTGACCCTCAGGGACTGCTTTTGCCTTTTCTCTCTTACTAGTGTCATGTGTGAAAAAGAAAAAAAAAAAATTACTCCAAAAAAACACTATAGTACTGGCTTTCTTGCTACTTGCTAAAGCAAATCTAAGATCATGTTCGTATATATATTGCATGATTTGAAGGGAACAGAGTGTGTTTTAGACCAAAAACGTGAGGCGATTAGTACCCTCAGAAAGCTGACAGATGGAAATAAAAGTCGAAATCTAAGGGCGGGTGAGGTTTTTTTGGTTATGAAAACTGAAAGGATCTACTGCTTCTGGCTGTGAGTTGAATTAGGGTTAACACTGAGCTTTAGAGCTGCCATGTGTATCCTTTTTGTTATGATTTCTTCCTTAAATTTTATTTTTCAGACTGATCTGTAGTCTGTACTATATAGTAAGTATATATCATAGTATATATTTCAGTGAAATATAAAATAATGAGTTATCAAAATTATAATAATCTGGAAGATAAATGTGGATTCATAATCTCTGAAAATCAGGGTTTGATTTGTCACATGTGAATTTAGACTTCTCCGCAACTCATGGAAAAGCCAAATATACACTTAATTAAGGTTGTTGTTATGGCCAAAATAACAATTAGTGTCGTCCTTTTCAAAAAAAGAACAATTGGTGTCGTCATTCCAAAATTATCCCAACTTTCTCTCACCCACAAATTTCTCTTTCGCCTACATCGCTTAATCTCAATTAGCAGCGTCTTACCTACCAAAACATGTTTACAGCTTCATTGATTGAGTCTGAATTCTTTCTCCTTTTTGGCCGTCCATTATAATGGTAATACCTTTTTTTTTTTTTTTTGAAACAAGACACTTTTTATTAACTTTCCTGGAATTCGTCCAGCAATTAACACGACAAGAATGCAACCACTAAACTGTTATAACTGATGAATTGGTATAGATTGAGATGTCAATCTTAATTGACCGACTTACAGATAGTCGAGTTTAGATTTGTGTGGGGTCACCTCTCCTATATAATAAGATGGCACTCACGCTTTCCTTTTCTTATATCAAAACGATTCCAATTGTTTTTCGATAGACACTTCAAGAAAACCTAGCTAGTGCTATAATTATAAATAAGAGAGAAGCACCCCTTGAGACAGCGCTAGAAAATTCGGTCTGATTTTTTTGGTTGTTTTGCTCGAACGTAGGATTGATAAAAAATCTCCCGTGGATCGACCTTTAACCCTTCTTCATTACTATGGTGGGAACAATGCATTCGGTGAATACCCCTCGACGAACTTCATCGTCAAGACCGACCCCTAGTTTTTACTCTGTGTACGAACAGGGAGCCACGACCCTTAGGTTTCGTTTTCAACCATGAAGCGGTTATGGTAGCCCTTGATCATTCAACAATGCGCGGGCTCGAGATCTGAAATTGTTAAGAACAGCAGAAGAGGCAGAAAAAGCTCGGGCTCGAGATATGAGGAAGTTCAAAGGAGCCGAAGATGCGAAAATGTTGGAAGAGGTAGAAGAGGCTCTAGTAAGAAGAGCTTCAAAGAAAGGCCGCCCCTTGCGTTCTTTGGATAGTTTAACGATTTCACGTTCCAACGCGTAGTATGGAAAGAGCGCGAAGCTGTAACGATGCCTGCACTTGTTGAAGCTGCCTGATGATAAAAGCTTTTAGGCCATCTTATGCCTCCTTTTGTGGACCCCTGGGTGGGTGATTTTGTTACTTTTGGTTGATAAAATTTATAGACCAATCTATTTATATTTGTGCTTTGGTTACGGTTGTTCAGTAAGCTCCATACCTGAATTTTCAATCTAAGTGATATGCAGATTTAACTTGATTTAACTCAGCTAAAAAAATAAATAAATCCATAACCAATATGTTAGCAAAACAGTTGGTGATATGTATTTCTTATGTTCTCGATCCCTTTGATACATGAGTGCTCTTGGTACCATTATAAGGGATAAAACTCCTTTAGTTTTCCGGGATGAGTTTAATTGATTGAAGATAGAAGAGATAGATTGGAAGAGAGAGGAAGATGTGGGTAGCGAGCTTAATTGATTGAAGATGTTTAGAGAATAGATAGACTGGAAGAGGGAGAGAGATTCCGCTAGGGGCAGTTCAGGATTGTTTTGAAGTGTTTTGACAATAACAACTCCCTTTACTTAAATATGTGATTCAAATTTGTGGTGTATCATTGATATTCACCTCTCTAATTTCTTTCTCGTATCGAAAAATTGCCCCATGAGATTTGAACCAATAACTTTGTGGTTACAGCCTCACATTCTCTCACATAACCATTCCATTCCACCCCACACTTCCGAATATTAGCGTTCACTTTTGTGTTTACATCCACCATTGAAATCTTGAATATACATGCAATTTATTGCCCTTTATTCTCATGTCGCGCATTTTAGGGTAATATGCATACTAAATTGCACGTTTTTATGTCCAAACAACAAGTAGTTTAACAAATTCACTTCTGAGCTGAAGAAAGGAAGCACTCCACATTCTAAAACATCCATGCTATATGTATAGTAAATACGCCCCAGAACCTTAACTATGTACAATTCTTGTAATAACAAAAATACAACCAAATCTAACTTGCTCGAGAGAAAGTTAGATTCATCGGCGAACTAGTCACTCCAATCACAGAAACAGCAAGTAAAAGGTAACAACATTGACCTGGAAAATATTCATCTTCATAATTATTGAATTCTCCATATTTTCATGGAGACATTCTGTGACGCCCCAACTAAACCCCCTATCCAATATGAGTGTTTAATCGGACGTCTGCCCAACTCGCGCGAGGACTCAATACAATCTATAATTTTATAAAGATATTTGCAGCAAAATCGTTATCACAAAATCTAAGCTTGTTCATTTGCAAAATTGCTCAATAATGGAAAGCTTAACTGATACCAAAACGACAATGAAAATTTTACAAATTTAGTTGCCAATGTCTTAGACCTACAACTACATCATTAATCCAACTCTCGGTCCCTCAATGCTCACCAACTTGGCCCAAATCCAACGACTCCTTCTCTGAAGCTGTATGTGGGGAAAAATAGGGAAAGGGTAAGCTTACGCTGAGTGAGGTCTACCTCGGCCTGTATTATTATTACCGATCCGCAACAAGCAAGTGTAAATGTGCATATAAAGAAAAGAAAATTCACAAAAATAAATGACAATAATATTTTTAACAACCCAAAGGATGGCCATATCCAAGACCATCAAATACAGACAATAGTTTATACTGTAAAGCCGTCAAGGACCTATGTGGTCTCATTGAACGACCTTCACACAAGTTCCAACTATATAGTTTCATGTCATCAACTATATAGTTTCATGTCATCACGAAGTATAGTCAAACATAGCAGTTCCAAAACTCAAAGGAAATAAAACTTATACAAGGATTTCTTGACACAATATTGACATAATGTGGACATAATATTCTTGACACAATTCTGGCTAGCCGTATATAATAGTGGACATAATTGACATAATGTGGACATAATATTCTTGACATAATCCTGGCTTAATAGCCGTATATAATAGTGGACATAATTGACATAATGTGGACATAATGACATAATTTTAGCTTAATAGCCTTACATAATAGTGGACAATAAATTCTCAGCATAATAGTTTTGACAAATTCATTAGGGTCGCATGATAAAATGAAAGTACAACGGTGTTAAAATTATCTTGGCAAAATAATAGTACACATGCGAGCAGCAGACATATAACAATAATGCAATCCAAAAACAACGGAATTAGAACACTCCCCTGACTTATCTTGACGTTGACTCCTAAAAGCTTTCTTAAGTAACTAATGTTGGCTATCCAGCGAGTTATACTATATATCTTGATGGACACAGAAAGAAAGCAAGAAAATTTCATAAGAAACAGGGTATCAGGTTCAAGAAAGAAGGAGCTACAAAGTTAGCTTCTTAAATTAACCATTCTGAATTTTCAGATTATTTAGTTATCAACGGGTCATATTCAAATGACAAATCAAATTTCCTAAGTAAGGATTCTGATTGATAGTCTGCAAAAGACGCATTATACTGGGCCAAACAAAGAAGAGATTCAATAAAAAAAAACTCGGAAAAGGGTTTAGCGACTAGGAGAAACGACCTCCAAAACAGATGAACTCGAATCTTAATTTTTTTCTGCTCTTTAATATTACAACAACCAGCAAACATGCTCTGTCTCATTAAATGTTTTGGAAGATCCGCCAAACCAATCGGCAATCATTAAAACCAAAACAAACTTCTAACACTCAGTAAGGTTTTGATAAGAAAAATTACGGACAAAGAATCATCAAACATCATAATCAAACCCCAACAAAATAGCTAATCAGACAGGATTTTCTAATTCTCTCATTCCTTCCCTTCTTCTCAAATCTCAAAACCAAAAATTTATATTTTCAGACCATTAAGTAATCATTTGCAAACTTCTAAGAAAGATCCTTAGCTATTAACACAACGTGCAATTCAAAACATCACAACCCAAGACAAAATCATCGAACTTTCCCATTAAAAGACTGGTCTAGCTCATCCTTTGTTCCCCCTCCATGTGGCTAGTCCAAAAATTAACAAAGGAACCCGCAACCTAAACCATTCCGGTCTTGAACCAGCAAGATAAGAAAGAAGAGAAACCCAACACAACCATTCATCCATCAATAATTGATCCCTTCTAATGCTTCTAAACCCAAAGTATAAAACTTCCATTAATGGTTCCAAAACCTTAAATAATTACTGAATTGAACTAACAAAATTTACCTACAGAGCCGAGCCGCACATATTGAAAATTAAAACCAGCAGACCCCCCGCCACCTTTCCTCTTCTTTTCCCTTCCTCCATCTCGGCTGCACCTCTTTACCCTTGCTTCTTTTGAATCCTCCGCTCTCTCTCTTCGTCTCTTTTTGTTTTATACTCCCTCCCTTCCAAAATTAAAAGTGAAAACCCAAATTGAACAATAATTTTAAGACGAGAAATATTAATTTCAAAATTTAAAAATTGACTTGGTAATAGATTAAGTTGGTAGAGGAAAGGGGAAAGAAAAGGACGGTGGAACTAGAAAGTGGAACAAGCCTGGGAAGATGGGAAGCTTTGGGTTCTGAAAAATGGAATGTGCAGGAACTTATTTTTTCTTCTTTCAAATATAAAATCATTCTACTTCTTCTAATTTTTTTTTAATTAGGTGGGCTGGGTAGTAAAAAGGATGAATTGGGCTTTAAGATTTCAAGATTAAAGGAGTTGTGTAGAGTTGATAAATGAGAGTAGAGTCCATATGTTTTGTTTCTTTGGGTTATATTTAGTTTGGTTAAGTGAAGAGGAACCTAACCCAATTAGGATTCCTAAATATATTTTCACTCAATCATATTTAGTTGAGAGTTTCTACCATATATTTTTGGTTAGTTCATTAATTACTATCTCCGTCCCATAATTATTGTTCAGTTTGGATTTTCATTTTTAGTACAAATTATACTAAAAGTGAAATACAAATTGTACCAAAAGTAAAATTTCAAATTGAACAATAATTTTGAGACAGAGGAAATAATTAATTATAATTTCTCTCAGGTTTCAATTAACGTTTTCACTTTGACATACAGTTTTTAAACACATGATCGTGTTTAAACACAGAGTTAACGTTTTCACAAACATCATGATCGTGTTTAAACACGGTTTTTAGTTGATATGCTAGCCACCTGTCACTAATGGTATATTCTCAATTACTAATTAAATTTAAGTTTTCCTACTATTTCTATATCTCTGATTAATTTACACTCCATAGAGGAGCGCCAAATTTGGCGGTCCTCAGACATTCATTTGCAGAGTAAGAATCTAATAATCGTACATGATGCACAGCCACAACCATCTTCAACTTATCTCGCGATTCAGGGGCCAGATGACACATTCAGCTAGCATGACACGATCCGCTAGCATACTAATACCTACAATGAGTTCAATAGCCCCACCATTTACATAAACATATAAGCGAGAAAAACATCAAACAAAGAAGAGAACGCATATTACTTCATTTTTCTGTACAAGCTCGGACAAATACAACACTAGACCTAACCAAACTGTATAGAAGGTTAGAGAGATGAAAAGGGGACACTAAAGTCATCAGTTGCCACATTGACACTCTCATCCCATCAGTTCTATTCAACTATTGCACCAAAAAGTAAGATGCAACCAACAACTTCATCGGGCGACAGGGCTCATGGTATAGAACCAAATCTATGGTTCGTCCATACATGTAAAAAAAGGGTGAAGAAAAACCAAAAAGAAATATTACTTGCTTCTCTACTGCCTAATACACATTTAATCAGCAAGTTAAGTAGATTTTCTCATAAAATCACCTCATGAGCATAGATGCTCTAAAGCACATCAACTCTTTTGGCCTTGCGATGAGAGAAGTCCCATCTGCTCTGTCAACTGTTCCATATGCTCAGTCCTGTTCCACCCATTATCAGCAACAGGTTTGACTTCCATTCCGCTGGAAAGTTCTTCTGCTAAAGTAGAATCCATCTCGTCGGTCTCAACTGATTGCTGAGGAGTCTGCAGAAACTGCTCCCAGTAAGGGTCTATGGAGCCCGGAAGCTCTTCCCCCACCGTATCAAAAAATGAGTCATCCCATTCCAGTTGATCATCAATTTCAAGAGACTCCCTTCCATCCACTAACATTGATGTATCCATGAAAGAACCATTTTCTGTTCCAGGCCCTAAAATAGCAGTACTATTCTCAGCAACAATGCCCGGCAGTTGAGAAAGTTGGGGCAGAATATCTGGTGATGGAACTGCAAGTGATTGCAAATCTTGTGTGCCAGCCATCTGGCTTATATCCGAGAGTTTGTTACTTGTAATCTCTGACGCTGAACCAAGGGATGGTGATTGACTCTCGGAAATAACAGCTGCAGAACTCTGACATGTAACAGACGACAGTGCCGGCAAAATAGACTGCCCAGACGTTAATGGGACTTCCTGAAGCGTGACAGCTGATATCCGATTGGCAGGCGTCTCAGAGTTCATTCCATCAGGCGGTGATGAGCTATCACTAAGCAAGAAATTATCAGAATTGTTGAATTTCTCTAATCTAGGAGAGGAATCATGTTTCAATAACTGCCTCATCATGGCTTGAGCTGCCTCATTCATCCGAGGCTGGTATTTAACAATCTGTCCATCAACAGGGGCAACAACTTGATTATCTGAAAGACCATCTTGCTTAAGCCTCCTTTTTTTGCTACCTTCAGTAATGAGCCTGCTATCATTTTGCTGCTGCACAAAATGCGCCAAAAATCCAGGACTGTTCACAGCTTTTGCCAGGAAAGACATCATTTGCTGTTGCCTCTGTTCCATCCCCTGGAGCCGCTGTACCATTGTTTGCAATTGATTGTCAGTTGTTTGTTGCTGTTGTCTCAATCGTACAAGCTCCTGCATAAGAACATTCTTATCCCTTTTCAACCTCTCAACCTCCTCTTCAAGCCCAAATTTTCCAACCTCAACACATGGACCAACTGATGAACTCTGTACATGGGGCTGCTGCGGCTGCTGTTGATTCTGTCCATGGGCAGGTTTTCGACGACTGATGCTTTTCAGAAGGTGTTTCTGGCCTCTTAAGAATCCCTCGTTTGCAAACTCCCAGCGATCTGGATCAACTTTCCTAAAACCCTGTTAATAAGTAATCATAAATACTGAGAGTGAGACAGAGGGACAAACACGGAAGAAAATGATACCAGCAGAGGCCCAAAAAAAATAAAGAAGAAGAAATGTAGCATGAAGGTCCACAGGAAAAAAGGACACTAACTCATGTGCGACCCCCCCAACCCAAAGCGCCCCGCTTCGTAACTACAAAAGCAAAGCAAACCCGTACTCTAAATTTCGTACACCAGAAAAATTCGTCCAAAAAACACCTAAAGTATTTTCTAGAGCACACTTCCTCCCTTCCTTATTATCTTTATCTTTGTTGTAGTTCACAGCGTCCTGCATCAGACGGATCGTACCAGTCAAAATTGTACTCTGAATCAGAGGCAATTTCATATGCAACTGCACAATATTTCAACCACCACTCACTTTACTACCAAATTAACCAAAACTAAAAAAGAAATTTCCATTAAATATCACCCTTTTCAAGTTTAACATGCACCAGAACTCGACACCCATAGAACTAAAGTAGAAAATTTTAGGCCACCTTAACATACTGACACCAAAATTTTAAGCAAACATCAAAAGCTTGCGTCTTATTTCTCATGTCCGTCCTTAAAATTTAAAAAATTTAAGTTACATTCCAACAGCCTAATTAATTACTGATATGGCATTGAACGCGAAACCCGGATAGTTGTTAGATTTGTTAGCTACATACGATAGGAGTTTCAAGAAGATAAGGATCAAGCAACAGCTTAGAAGCTTAAGTTGTCTTCTTTGCAACACACATAAAACACAACTCTCAAATACACTAATTTCTACCAAGTATAGTCCCAAATTTTGATTTAGCTGAAGGAATTAAACATGTTTAACTATAGCTGAAAATTTAATCAACTCAGGGGTCCCAAAGTACATCTTTAGCAACATAGCAGATTATCCCTGTCCAATATTCATGCATATACAGATATCTACAAACTTAAACCTTAGTTTTAACTCATCTAGAGAAATTAACTGGAAGTATAGTATGAAAGAAGAGAATGGAAATATATCACCACATTAGCATCTTTGAGCTACATTGTTGTTTATAGCATGCCTAGATCAGTCGCCTCGATCTTCTTTACCAAACACGACCAAAATGATAAGTCATTATAATTCTAGATCTACACAGCAGAAATGATAAGTCCTCATAATTCTAACCTACAAAACAAAATAAATCCGTGCACGTTCCAAACTTGCAGGAAAAGGTAGTAGATTGCATATTAGCTGGTCGCATTTCCATTTTCAACACTAACTAAGCATTGTCTACCGCTATGAAGAGTGTTATTGCAATGAAGTGCCAGCAACAAGGATCATATTTTTCTTCATGTTCAGTCAAAACATTTATTCTTCAACATCCACATCAACAGCTAGGTAGTGATCATCCCTTACCCTTTTTGATTTAAGAAATAATCATTTACTTCCTACCCCCTGTAATGGAGCATCTAAAGCGTCCTATACTCACTTACAAACCACGTTGCGCATATCACACTCAAATGTCCAACTAATGACACTATTCACACCTTCATTCCGATACACTCGTTATTTCCCATACCTGTCTTTGTGTGCCAGCACAGTCACATAAACATTGGCATCTCTACTACCCTCAGTTATTCTTCCCCTTACAGGTTCAAGTTCATACATAATCAAATTAGTTACTTAGAAAGATAATGTACTGAAAAAGCGAATATTAACATAGTAGATCTCATATACCCGATAATGCAGTCATCCTCCAGAAGACATATAGGCAAGGAATCTAAGCATGCTCAATCTTGTAGCATTTAACCAAAAATACCACAGTACAGAAATAATCTGCAATATTCAGACAATTTATGCAGTAAAAAAGACAAGGAATGACAAAATTGCACAATAACTCCTTTTCCTCATCATCTGCATCGGTTAAATAAAGTATGGAAGCATGACTGCAATCTGTAACTTACAAGGAGATATTGATGAGTATAAAGGTACTATCACCACCTTTTTATTTAGTTAATATTCTGTTTCCTCCCAACTTCCTGCTTTACTAACTTAAATAAAGACCAAAGAAAAAAGTTTAAAAATTGAAAAGGAGTCCAAACCTTGCTCTCAATAAATTAGACTGCATCTAGCTAACGCTAAAGTTTGGTTAACTTAAACACTCAAGACCTGACAGAGCTCATAGTTGAAGCAATGAGATAGCATACAAAAAGATACAAGTCTAAAGATTCTAAACAACAAACCCCTTTGACATGGATTTAGATGGAAATAGATTTAGAAGATTTGTAACCATTTCTACTGCCTCTTTTTTTACCCATGTCCAAGTGAGATGGAGATAGAGAGATAACTAAAGGAAATAGAGAGATAACTATCGCATAGAGTCCAAAAACACGAACGCCACAATCAAAATTCCAGTTTTTGCTCTCAAACTACCCGCTCCACTATATTTAAAGCCCATTACTAATTATCGATTCATGATCAACCAATAAACAGAACCAAAATCTACATATCAGTTATAGGAAAACTTCAATTTCACACAGAAGAGCGAGATAAATCCGAAACAAAATGAGCGAACAAAATGCTTACATAAGTGTTCAACTGGCGGACGAAGCTGGAGAAGTTGTTGTGCTTAAAGAACTTAGGAAGAAGATCTCGCGCAAACTCCGGCGGGTCCCACACGATGAAACTGTTGTTGGTAGCGCTCCAGGAGACGATCCTATCAGTGCTCGGGTCGTCAACCATGTCGTACGTCTTCACCAAGAAAGGAGGCGGTGCATTCGCATTCGAAACAGGCATCGGCGTAGGAACAGAAGACGAAGAAGTTGCAGACGAAGCACCGCCATCCGCCGACGATGCCTTCCCTTTACCGTTGGACGCCATTGATATCAACAAACAAAAGCGAAGACAGCTCCAATAAACATCCGAAAAAAAAAATTACTAGACCAAAAATTAAATTCTCAAACGAAAATAGTGCGAAATCTTGACGAATTTCAGGGTTTTTGAGGAATTTTGGTGGTTGTGTGCGCTGAAGAAAAACCCTAGGAAAACGCTGCAGGTGTGTGTGTATGTGTGAGACTGTGCGGGAGACTTGAGAGAGAGAAAGCAAAAGGGGAAAAAAGAAAAGAAAAAAGAAAATGTACGGTGAAACACGGAGACGACGAAGGAAACGGGATTGTGTTCAATTGAACCGGGTTTTTTCTTATTTTCATAACTGGTGCTTTTAGAGAGGGCCCACACCGGGAGGCCGCGACTCGTGAAACGACTGATCCTGTGAATTTTGTGGAAAATAAAAAGACAATAAAATAAAATTGAGAAGCTCGCCGAATGCCGACGTCGCCGTTACTTTTCGTTTTTGCTTTTTCTTCTTTTTTCTTTTTCTATTTTTTTTTTTTTGTTTATGTAGTAATAATATTTTTGTGGATTTAGAAACTCCCCGTTTGCTCAACTCCCATTTACCAGTTTGCCTGCCATAAAAGAAACACTAAATAGTATGGATCCTGAAATCATTCGAAAAGTGCTGAATAATTATTTAACTGCTGAAAATAATCATAAAAAAATAAAAAATAGATCAAGCTAGTATTAAAAAACTAAAAAGATATAAATGTGCTAATTAAATTGCTAGCTCGGCTTTTAAACTAAGTTCATCCGTATCTCTATCCTTAGATGTAGTTTAGAATTTTAGATCAATCATTGACAAGAAGAAGAAGTTGGAAAACAGCGATCGCTTTCAGCCGTAACATGTATATTAGGCTTTAGAAATATTACAATACATATATACACGTATAAGGACGGTAAACCTAATCCCGTAAATGACTTCGTAACTACCGTAACACTGTAACATACATATATATCAAATATATCTGTAATATCCCCCCTCAAGTTGGAACATGCGGATTCCGAATGCCCAACTTGCCAAGAAAATAATCAAATTGCTGCTTTCCTAAGGATTTGGTGAAACTGTCAGCAAGCTGTATGGGAGTAGACACATAGCTGCGTGCAATGATGCCGTTGAGAACCTCATTGCGCACAAAATGACAGTCTACTTCAATGTGTTTCGTACCCTCATAGAAGACTGGATTAGCAGCCATATGCAAAGCTGTCTGACTATCACAAAATAAAGACATAGGCTGAGAGTGAGAAACACCGAGACAAGACAATAAAGCCTTCAACAACAAAGCTTACAGTCTGCACGAAGAAAAATACCCTGACCAGGAGAACCCTTCAAATACCGGACCACCCGAAGAGCTGCATCCCAATGAGCTTGTATGGACTTCTGCATAAACTGAGACAAGATATGAACAGAGTAAGAAAGCTCAGGGCGTATAACAGCAAGATAAATCAGACGACCGACCAGGCAGCGATACTGCTCAGAATGAGAAAATGGAGAATCAGAAGTCGAAAATAGATGATGATTCAGCTCCAAGGGAAAAGCAACAGGTTAGCACCCAACAACCCTACCTCAGAAATGATATCCAAGGCATACTTGCGCTGACAAAGAAAAATGCCTGAAGAATTGCGAGACACTTTAAGACCTAGCAAATATTTTAGGACACCAAGATCCTTCATATGAAAACAGTTACTCAAATAAGTTTTGAAAGATCGTAGTGCATGACTGTCATTGCCCGAGAGAATCAAATCATCAACATAAATTAACACATTGAGTTGCAGGGAACCACGCTACAAAGTAAACAAAAAATAATCAGAGTAATATTGGCGGAAACCATACTGGCGTAGGGCACTAGCCAATTTGGCAAACCAACACCGAGGGACTTGACGTAAGCCATACAGAGAACGACACAACCGACAAACACTGCCCGGATGCACAGAAGAAAATCCAGGAGGCAACTTCATATATACTTATTCATCCAGATCACCATGAAGAAACGCATTGTGAATATCCATCTGATGAAGTTCCCAACCTTTGGCAGCAGCGACCGTTAGAAAAGTACGAACCGTCGTTATTTTGGCGACATGCGCAAAAGTGTCATTATAATCAAGCCTCAATCTGATTGTTGTCCAAGATCACCAGGCGAGCTTTATAGCGCCCAACCGAACCATCAGAGTGATACTTGATCTTAAAAACCCATTTGCACCCAATGGCGCGTTTCCCTAAAGGGAGAGGTTCCATAGTCCAGGTACCATTATGCTCAAGAGGCTGAATTTCATGTTGCATTGGGTACGCCAGCGGGCATCTTTTATGGCCTCCGAAAAAGTGCGAGGCTCGACACTTGCTGCCACACTTGCCATAAAAACACGATGTTGTGGAGAAAAAGAATTACAACTCACATAATTGTGTAAAGGATAGGACGTACCTGAGGAAACTGATGGAGAAGATGAGAATTGAGAGGGGCTTACAGGAGCAATCGTATGAGAAACAAAGTCATGCAGACGAGTAGAGCGATGCTTGGTTCTATGCCCATGACCCAATAGCTCTTCCTGATGCTCAGGAGAAGGAGAACCCCCCCCGGAAGAAGTCTCATCACAAGAATCAGGCACAACCTCTGTCAAACCAACATTACCAGAAGTAGGGAGCACATTATCCACATGTGGTGACACAGTGTCAGAGGAAACAATAGGAGGCTCAAGATCATCATGATCAAGAATAGGAGAATAATCAATGCAAGGGAAATCCAAAACATCAGAGGAGGCAGCCAAGTAAAAAAATTCAGACTCAGAGAAAACAACATCTTGAGACACAAAGAAATCCCCAGAATCTAAATCATACACTTTCCAACCCTTTTGACCAGGGAAAACCCACAAACACACACCTACGACTACGAATGGAGAATTTATCGCCATTACGAACTGGATTGTGTATATAACATAAACAACCAAAAACACAGAGATGACCAAAAGAAGACGGCTTGCCATACAAAATCTCACATGGAGTTTTTCCATTCAAAATAGCAAATGGAGTACGATTAATGAGGTAGCCAGTAGCTAAAATACCATCACCCAAAATTCAATAGGCAGATGGGCTTGAAATCGTAAAGCACGGGCAGCATTGAGAATATGCCTATGTTTACGTTCGACCTGACCATTTTGTTGAAGGGTCCCTATACAAGAAGTCTCATGCAAAATACCATGTTGGCGGAAATAATCAGTCATGTACATAAATTTTGTACCATTATCACTACGAACAGTTTTGACCAACTTGCCAAATTGGTGTTCAACTATAGCCAAAAAATTGCGTAAATGCAAAGACACTGCTTGCTTATCAATCAACAAATAAATCCATGTAGCTCTAGAATAATCGTCAACAATTGTCAAAAAATAAAGAGCTCCAGAAAATGAGGGAATCCGATATGGAACCCATAAATCACAATGCACCAAATCAAAAACATCACAAGTTCTAGTAGTGCTAATAGGAAAACTGTCTCTGGACTGTTTGGCCCGATAACAAATGTCACAAGCCTTATTAAAATTACTACTAGACTTCTGAGAACCAACGGGAGGAAGCATCTCTAAAACCTTAGAAGACAGATGTCCCAGGCATCGATGCCACAAATCAAACGAAGAAAAATCATCAGTCTGCACAGTAGATGCAATCTCCACCGGCCAGAAGAAATAAAGCTCCTCTCGTGGCTCACCCGCTCCAATCAGAGTCCTCGAATTAGGGTCCAGACAACTTTTTACTCGGCCCGGACTTTGCCAAATTTAACAAATTAATGAAGGTTTGCCATTGACTGATTGAGACCGGTGATAGCAGTAGCTTGTTTCATGCTACTGAGAGGATTTGGAGTCACCAAGGTGTTGGCTGCAGCCGGAGGAACCAAAGGAGCAGCACCAAGAACCGAATTGCCCCTATTGCTGCCATGACCACCAGCACGACCCCATCCACGACCAGCTCCCCCACGCAGCCAATCTACCGGATATTCAATGATTTGGAAACAATCTCTCACTTCATGCCCAGGTCTATTGCAGTGCGCGCAAAAGAGGTTGCGACCACAACCCTTCGGTTTCGAACCGGAAGAAGAAGAGGATGCGGATGCAACATAGGCCTAGACATCACTGCCACCGCCTGAAGTTGCAGAACTCCGAGAGACGCTGCCGGTCTGAACGACAAAACTCATTGTCACCGACTGAGGTTCTTTGTGTTGAGCAGAACGCAAACATTCTTCTTGGATCATCACGGAGTACACACGTTGAAGGTTCAGCAACGGATCCTACGAAAGAACGGTCGAACGCACAGAACCATAAAGCTTCGAATTCAAACCCAGAAGGAATTGATGCACACGTTCTGTTTCACGACGCAATTCAAGAATAGCGGCCATTTTCGTCTGACAAGGCTCGCACAAATCAGTCACCGGAGGACAATCTGAATCGCCAACGTCGTCCCACAATTTCTTAAGTTTCCCATAATACGAACCAATGGACATATCATGCTGTTTGCAATCAGCAAGGTCTAATTTCAATTGCTGCACTCTCAAACCGGTGACGACGGAAAATCTTTGTCGGAGATGGTTCCACAAATCAGCCACAATCTCTTTAGAGGGAATCGTCGACTGAACATGCGGATCAATGACATTAGAGATCCAGGAAATGAGTAATGATTGGAGAATTGTCACCGGGCCGTCCCCAACACCAGAACGCCTGACGATCCTCAACGCTGCCCATCCCGGGGTAAGCTCACAACACGACCCGACCTTGGGTTCACCGAGACAAGCAACCAGCTCTACCCGGAAAATCACAAACCCGGTTGAGAGCCTACGCAGTAGAACACAAAATGGCTATACGCTAGCCCGCCTAGAAACGGCTCCAACACTTAGCCAAAATCCAAGCACACAAGAAACGAGTTTGAAAGAATGAACAAGCACAACACAAGGAATGTGAAACGGGCTACCAAAGCCCCGGGCCAAACTAGACCCCGTCCCTTATATTAAACCAAATCCCTTAGGAATATTACAAGAGACAACACTTGAACCCTCTCAAACTCAACAAGAGCACCCTAGCTATTCTCTCTCTAGAATACAAGAGTTACTCTCCACTAGACTTTCTCTATCTAGCACTCACACTCTTTTGTGTCTTGCCTACAAGTGAGCTCTCAAGCTCCTTATATAGACCAAGGGAGACAAGCCCCTCCCTCCTAGGCATACAAAGTGGACTACATGTATTGGGCAACCCTAAGCTAAGCCTTCAAGCTTGGCCAACCATCTTGCACCTCCTTGGCTCTTCATGCATTGGCCAACTTTGCCTCCAAGGGTCCCACATGCTCCAATTCCAGCCATCTCTAGAAGCTTCCAGCTCTCCCTAGAGTCCTTGGCCCGTCCCGGTCCTTCACTCTACATGCTAGAGCAAACCGGCACCCATTTCCCGCATGCCCGCTGTTTCCCGCACAGTCGTCTGCCTGACCCGAGCTTTCTCGCGCCCGGTTGCATCCCGTTCCTCAGGTTCCTGCATTTTCTCGGTCAACCCGGTTAGCAACCTGTTTCCCGCATCTCGGCAAGACCCGACAGCATTTTCTCGGTCAGCTGCCTTCTTAACCCGCATCACCCGGATGCCGACGCCCATGCACAAACGCCCACCGGTTACCCGGTATTTCCCGCAAGACCTGCCTGCTTCGTGTGCATTCCCCGCACACCGTTCCCGCAAAAACCAACAGAACCGTGCCCACATGCATAAAAACACAAGTACAATCCAACAAGGAAACAAAGGGACTCGTACCTTGGAAATCCACCAAGTCCATGTACTGAAACCACTAGGCTTCATCCCTCCTTCGTGCAACCGGCACTAACCCGTGCCCGCTTGAGTTAACCAGCAAGTTTCCCGGACCGTTGCACCAAGTCCCGCAGATTCCCGTGCACCAGCTAGCTTTCCTCGGTCAAGCTAGCACCTTAAGAAAACGAGGGGCTAACAGACCTCCCCCACTTGAACGTTTGATGCCCTCGTCAAATGCCAAGTCGATGCTCCAACGCACCCGATGCTTGCAAGCACCACGACTACATTTGCCCTGCAGCCCTGTGGGAACTCCAGCCCACCGTTCAACCAAACTCGTGCGCACCAACGCACCCGACGCCACCCAGCATTTGTTGCACACCCAGCAACTGGCTACAACACGTGCAGCCCGCTACCCGGACAAAGCAGCACCCCATGGGACTTAGCCAACCCACCACTTGAGCATTCCCTCGCCCAAGCACCGATTACCTTGAACCCGGCAATCCGTTGCACACCAAGCAACCGGCTATAACCCGTGTAGCCCGCTACCCCCAGCATATTAGCAAACATGGGACTTCACAACCCACCATTTCCTTAGAACCGTGCGCACCACTAGGACGATGCCCTCAAGGCACCCGTTGTATCTCCCTGCAACCCGTTGCAAAACACAAGCAACCACTACAAAAACAAAGTAGCAAACATGGGACTTACCTTGCCCACCGCATAGACATCCTCCACCCAAGCCGTTGCACCAACCCGGCAACATTCGCTGCACCCATCACACAGCATTTCCTGGCTTGACCAGCATGCATTGTCCAAAGCCGTCGCAGCCTCTGCCGCATTCGTCACCTGCCTCTGCAAGTAACGGGACTATAACCCAGCCCCAATCCCTTAACCGCTTTGTTGCCTCCATCCTCCAGAAGCAACGGGACCATTTCTCTCTCATGGCCCCCGGGCCTCCGCCCGTGCTCTACACAAGCTTGAGGAGATTAAGTCGTATAGGAGCTGCTTCCACGGCCGGCTCTTCTTCATCCCGTAAGACTTGATGGGCATTAATATTAACCTTAGTTTTCAAGGAACAATCCCTTACCCGGTGTCCTGCTTTGCCGCATCCAAAGCAGCTACCATTCTTGGCGTTCCTGGCAGCACCATCCGTACTGCCCGTTGCCGGACTGTCCGCATACCCAGCAACTGACTTGCCTTTCTCTACAACGACCCGTTCCTTCCTTGCCGGGTTGCTGCCCGCATGCTCATCAAGTTGAAGGTCTATCAACCTGTCAGCCACCCGCAATGCTTCGGCCAAGTCCTTGATCCCACGATGACGCAACTCCGCTTGCGCCCAAGGTTTCAACCCGGCCATGAAGTTGAAAACCTTATCCTCCTCCGACATATCCTTCACATCCAGCAGCAAGGACGTGAAAACCTTGATGTACTCATGGATGGTTCCCGTTTGCACGAGTATTCTCAGCTTCTCTGCTTGCCAAGACGCATTTGTGGGCAGGAACTGCTCCCTCAGCTCCCGTCTCATCTCTTACCACGTTGCAACCCGGGCAGCATGCTCGTCAGCACATCTCGTTTGCCACCACTGCTTAGCGTCTCCCGTCAAGTACATAGCCGCTACCGTTACCTGCCCGGTAGCCGGGATTTTCATAGCGTCGAAGTGCTGCTCAATATCCCCAAGAAGTTTTTCAACTCTTTGGCACTTCTCCCGCCCGTGAACTTAACCGGCTCCGGTACCTTCACTTCCCAGGCCATGTCCAAGGCACCTGACATTGCCCGTTTCAGCAAGGCAACATCAGTTTGCAGCGCTTCAATAGCACCCGAGTTTTCCTCAAACTCCAGCCTTGTCGCCCTCTCGTCAAGGCCACGTTGCACGACGTTCAAATCTGCCCGCAACCCTTCAACCGACTGGGCAGCAATCGCGTCCGCCCGTCTTTCCAACTCTTCGACCCTCTGGGCCAAACCAGCCACCATAGCATACACACTAGGAGGCTCCGCAGCATCCGTCTCCAAAAGACGTTCCGGCCGCTCTACCGTCGCTTCAAGTTGCGCAACCCTTGCAGCTTGAGCCATGATCCTTCGAGTTCCCGGCCTTCGGAACTAGCAAAACTCCGTGCCTTCCGCAAGCACCGGCCACACCAAGTAGCCAAACGACACGTCCCCCCGAACCTGGGTCTCTGATGCCATAATTGGCACCGGACCGTCCCCAACACCGGAACGCCCAACGATTCTCAACACTGCCCGTCCCGGGACAAGCTCACAGCACGACCCGACCTCGGGTTCATCGAGACAAGCAACCATCTCCACCCGGGAAATCACAAACCCGGTTAAGAGCCTACGCAGTGGAACACAAAACGGCTGTACGCTAGCCCGCCTAAAAACGGCTCCAACACTTAGCCAAAATCCAAGCACACAAGAAACGAGTTTGAGAGAATGAACAAGCACAACACAAGGAATGTGAAACGGGCTACCAAAGCCCCGGGCCAAACTAGACCACATCCCTTATATGAAACCAAATTCCGTAGGAATATTACAAGAGACAACACTTGAACCCTCTCAAGCTCAACAAGAGCACCCTAGCTATTCTCTCTCTAGAATACAAGAGTTACTCTCCATTAGACTTTCTCTATCTAGCACTCACACTCTTTGTGTCTTGCCTACAAGTGAGCTCTCAATCTCCTTATATAGACCAAGGGAGACAAGCCCCTCCCTCCTAGGCATACAAAGTGGACTATATGTATTGGACTACTCTAAGCTAAGCCTTCAAGCTTGGCCAACCATCTTGCACCTCCTTAGCTCTTCATGCATTGGCCAACTTTGCCTCCAAGGGTCCCACATGCTCTAATTCCAGCCATCTCTAGAAGCTTCCAGCTCTCCCTAGAGTCCTTGGCCCGTCCCGGTCCTTCACTCTGCATGCTAGAGCAAACCGGCACCCGTTTCCTGCATGCTCGTTGTTTCCCGCACAGTCGTCTGCCTAACCCGAGCTTTCTCGCGCCCGGTTGCATCCCGTTCCTCAGGTTCCCGTATTCTCTCGGTCACCCCGGTTAGCAACCTGTCTCCCGCGTCCCGGCAAGACCTTGCAGCATTTTCTCGGTCAACTGCCTTCTTAACCCACATCACCCGGATGCCGACGCCCATGCACAAGCGCCCACTGGTTACTCGGTATTTCCCGCAAGACCTGCCTGCTTCGTGTGCATTCCCCGCACACCGTTTCCGCAAGAACCAGCACAACCGCGCCCACATGCATAAAAGCACAAGTACAATCCAACAAGGAAACAAAGGGACTCGTACCTTGGAAATCCACCAAGTCCATGTACTGAAACCACTAGGCTTCATCCCTCCTTCGTGCAACCGGCACTAACCCGTGCCCGGTTGAGTTAACCAACAAGTTTCCCGGACCGTTGCACCAAGTCCCGCACATTCCCGTGCACCAGCTAGCTTTCCTCGGTCAAGCTAGCACCTTAAGAAACCGAGGAGCTAACAGATGGTCCGCCAATCATCCAAGTTGTACGCTTTCTTCGGTGTCTTGATTGAGCCATCAAGGAAGCCAAACTTCCACTCGGAGAGCAACACGAACGGCTTTAGACCATTCGTCATAATTGGATTCCCCCTTCAACATAACCTGAGTGATCATGATTCCCCTGTGATCATTAGAAGTAATATCCAAACGGGGAGATTGTTTTATGAATAGCAACCTCATCATCGGACGAATCCGAACTAGAATCGGCGTTAGAAGACATTGTCGCAGGAAAATTTTTTTTTAAAACTGCTTGGATACCATGACAAGAAGAAGAAGAAGTTGGAAAATGGCGATCACTTTCAGCCGTAACATGTATAATAGGGTTTAGATATATTACAACACATATATACACGTATAAGGACGGGCAAACCTAATCCCGTAAATGATTCCGTAACTACCGTAACACTGTAACATACATATATACCAAATACATCCGTAATAATCATTGGGATTGGAGTACATGTAAAATGTGTATAAAACAAACATCATATGTTTAAATAATTTTAGTTCAATCAAAGATTTTGTGCTTAAGTATGGAGTGATGAGAACCATTTTTCTGCATAGTAAAATTTATAACATGAATATTCACTTAGAAGCTAAGAAAAAACTTAATTTATAGAATTACAGTGTAAAAAACCAATTATTAAATTTAATAGAAATAGAGAATGAATTCGTGTAATGATTAATTTAAGAATAATATGGTTAAAGATACAATATATGATTAACTGATATAAAAACTTTATATTTAAATAATGGATAACAAAATACACTAGAACCCCTATAAGTTAATACACTTGGGACAAAAAAATTTATTAATTTATAGTTATAATTATTAATTTATAGATAAATTATTAATTATTAGGGCCTAAAAAATTATTAATTATTAATTTATAGAGTTTTCTCAACCTTACAAAGAAACAAATTACCAAATTTTATTATTTTCATAGGAAAAAAAGCCGGTGCTCATCCTATATATGCATTATTATAAATTTTTCGAATGGAACAAAAAGAAACCAATTGCAGATATAAAAAAAAATAATTAACTTAAAATCTAAGTTAATCTTTAAGTCTAATTTTTTATTTTAGATATTTATTAATTTATGGAATTATGAAAACTTATATTTACATAGGAGATTCTTGAAAAATTATTATTTTATTAACTAATCGAGTTTCTCTATTTTTTTGCACTGATCCTGAGTTAGGACCGGAAAAAAATATATATTTGATAGAGGTTATTAATTTATGAAAAATTAATTTATAGAGGTTTAAATGTACCTAACACATAAACTTGATTTTTAGGTTCAACAATTTGTTAGGTACTCCATTTGTCCCAAAATTATTATACAGTTTGATATTTTAATTTTAATACAATTTGAACTAAACATGTTATGCATATAGTAGGTGTAATTGCACAAAATAGTATTGAAAAGCTAATTAATATTTCAACTCCTCTTTTAGACGTACCCATTCTTCCAAAATAAATAGTAAATCATTTTCTTTCTTTTTTTTACATACTCCTTCATATTCATTACTTAATATTCAAAATATATACATCTTAAAATCTCTAGTGGAAAAGTCATAAGAAATTAAATTCATTATTACTACAGTGATTTAATTCTTAAAACATATGTTTGGAACATGGTACCGAATCTATCTATTTATCTATCTATATATATCTATCTATCTACAGTATTATACTAAGACAGGAACCAGAGAGAAAAAAAAAAAAATTTTAAGGGTGCCATATATGATAAAATCCCATGTGTCATTTTTCTAATGTTTGACTCAAAAAATATTTACAACAATTATACTAATAGTCATTCAAATTTTCTATATATAAAGTTTTATCAAATTGCATTTAAAACATTAATTGAAAATGGGAAATGGAAATTAATCAAATTAAATGGACATGAATAATGAATATTAATGCGCGGAAATTATTTCCTTCCCAAAAGAATCTCCAAAATTATGGAAAACTCAATCACAATTCCGATATTAATGACAAAATCAATAATTATTCAAAAATCAAAATTTTTTGTGGAATCAGATAACAATCATATCCCATAATTAATTCCAAAATTAAAAGGATTCAATTGTAAAAGATATCAATTTTTATTCGATCAATAAATATATAAGAATTAATAATATGTAAAGATTTTCAATTTTTACCACAAAAACTTATCTACTTGAATTTTGATTATTCAAATGCTCATTTCCTTATTAATCATATCCAAAATTAATATTATTATCTTTTAAATAAAATTTTTTCCATAGTTCACCCTATATATTGTCATCATATTGATCTATGTTATAGCATTCTTTCGCACTGGTGTAGAGAATGACAAGGTACTGTCTATTTGTTTTGAAGCGTTTGAATCTAATATATATATATATATATATATATATATATATATTAAGTTTTCTTTACTCACGATTTTTGATGAGTTTCTCCGATATCGTATTGATTAGTTGATGGGGCTGCTTGAAGATTTCTCACTTAGAAAGCATTAACCTCAAGACAAGGGTATGTGAGATGACATGTTTAAGTTTTTGGATACAATTAAAACCTTTTAATTAAAATTAATGGAGTTTGCACTTTGTAGGCAAAAGATGAGGTTTACAACTTGATTATATAAGGAGCAAAATTGTTATTGTGGGTTGTATTTTCTGATTTATGTGTTTATGTATTTGAGATGTTTCGAATGATTTTAATTTGTCTAAAATTTTTGCACTAGAAAAGTATAATTTCTTAACGAGTCAAATATTATATTTTTTATTGTACCTCTATTTTTTTATTATTTTTAATTTGTGTTTTCGTATTATTTTTTTCTTCTAATTTTGGATTGACGATTTTCATTTGAATAATTATTTTATTATTTACGCAGGTGGAGCCATAGAAGGAGAATTTCGACTCCATGAAAATTTGGATTTAATGGGACCGAAATTCATTATTTTTTGTTCTCCTTAAATGGTTAGTCTTCAACAGCAATATACTTTTTTTTTTTGAAAGATCAACATCAATATTCTTTTTAACAAAATTTACTATCTATCAAATTCTAAAAGATTAGACGATGCAAAATTTAAAGTTCGGATTTGGTGCAAATTAAAGATGTGTTGTTTCATTTGTTCAAAAAGTTTATATTATGATTCCACACACACACGTACACTCAAATATACAAAGAGTGAATTCGGATTGGCTAATTGATTCAACTAAAATGCATCCGAATTTATAGGTTTTAAATAAAGGCCAATGAATGTCATTTATTGATATAATTCAATTTTTTGGATAAATTTGAACTCAATCATTTATACAAATCAATTGCAATCCGGCCGTGATGATAAGAGTCTTCAGAAAACTTTCTATTATGTGCAAGCATTTATTTAAAAATATAATTTATTTTGAAACTATTGTTAGTTATGATTCAAAATAATATTATAATCTTATCTGTAGTTATCATAATCAATGATTAATGAACAATGTAGATTTTCCCATTTCAAATTATCAAGTAGTTCATTTCAAAATTTGAAATCATTAATTATGCAACAAAATCAA